CGGTCCGGCGGCTCGAAGCCCGACGGGCTGCTGACAGGTTCAGGGACCGAGTGGTGTCGTGCGGAGCGTCGCGTGTGCAAGCAGGGCAGCGGCAGTAGCATGCAGGTGTAGGGGCGCAGTCTGCTCCTGGGCTAGAGCCTGCACTGCATGTACATGTAAACGGCTAGTGTTCAGTCGCTTCCCCGCGCACTTTACAGTGTCCTCTTGAAGGGATGGCGAACCCACGTGAGCGACAGAAGAAAACGGGGTCGGCTGCGCCGACATTCGCGCGCAGGGTGCCTGCGTAAGGTGGCGCGTGAGCGCCCTCGTTTCCAACGCAGAGTGACGGGCTGGCGCCCCGCGTAAGCCCCCGCGCAAGGTCGCCATGCCATCGTGCGCAAGACTCGAGCAGTGGCGAGGCGTCCTGGCTTGCCTATGGGGCTACCAAACAGTGTTCTAAGAACCTCGTGTGATCTGCACGACGAAAAATGTTCTCAGAACATTTCCGGCTGGGACTGCCTTGTTTCAGCACATCGGGTTCATGTTCTCAGAACATGGTTTTTGCTTTTCGCACAGTTCTGGGTTCTAAGATCATGTCGTGCTAGGCCTATAGGAATGCCAGGACGGTCGGTCCCTGCTCAAAATCCCCCTTTTTTTGCGCCGCTCGCGTGAGGGAGTCGCTAAGGTGCGATGCTGATACAGGGACCCTCTGTGCCAGGTGGAGGGCGCCGAGTGGGCGCCAATTCAGGGGCAACGGGGACAGGCTCAGGGGGGGGATGCATCGACCCCCAGTCGCCCATGCATCGCCGAGAAGGGCCCGATAGCCCCAACCCTCTTTGGAAAGTGCGGATTTTGCCTATGTGGGACATATGGCGACGTGTCGCCGATTCCAGGTCGATGCCTCCCCCCCTATGCTGGTCAGGCCGAAGCAGCCAGGCTGCGTTCGATGCGGCTCTCCCCGTGGCGGGAGCGCGTGCTCGCCCTCTCGCCCGCCCCGGCGGCAGATCGGCGGCCACTGCAGCGGCACCTTCTCTGCGTGCGAGGCTGGCCTGGCCTTCATGATATGGGTGCCCGGGTCGCGCCTCCGCCCCTCCTGCCTCTATTACCAGTTTGAAACATATCCCTATCCCCATGTTTGACATCACCTCACCTCGATGCCGGTCTTAAGGATTCCCTCAGGTTCTGAGGGCCTGTCCCTAAGATTGTCCTCGCTTTTTGCTCGCCCATCTTAGGGATAGGGATACGTTCGAGGCTGGTTACTCTGGGCCTCCCAGATGGGGTCGGAGTGGGTGTGGGGTCGGAGGATCGCGCCGCATCGCCGACGCGTCCAGGACGCGGGTCGATGCGGAGCCCGACTCTCTCCGCGCTGGCGTCGCGGATGCACCGCCGATGCATCGTGCATCGTCGAGATGCATCGCCGACGCGGCGCGATCCTCCGGCCCCGTCTTCTCGGACCCCACCTGGGCGGCCTCTGTTGCTCCCGCTCCCCCGCTGGCTCATCTTCCCCCTTCCCATTCCCAAGGCCGGGGGATGCTGCTTGACAGCCCGGCACCCTCTCGAGGGCCCCCCCCTCCCTCCCACGGCGGGCGGGGAACTGGAGCCAGGCCCGCAGCCGAGCACGCGTCCGAGCCCGAACGCGGGCGAGAAGCTGAGGTCCGAGTCCGGCCTCGGGTCAGGATCCGATCTCGAGTCCGAGTCCGAGTCCACGATGGGCCGGACGGCTTGGATCAGATTTTTCAGGATACCAGCGCCATGGGGTTGATTGCGACACGCAGCCCCCCAAAAACAGTGCATGCAGGGGGCTCTTGCTCGTGCTCTGGCGCCCCGGTGGCTCCACGCTGCGGCTGCTGGGTTCCACCTGAGCGCTGCTGCGCACCACGTGGCGGAGGGCTGCTCGCTGCTGCCGCGGGGTCCAGCCCATGTGTTGCTGCGTACCGCGAGGCGCAGGATTGCTGGGTGGGCGGGCACAGGTAGGGCCCCGCGCACGTGGCACGAGAGGGAGGAAGAAGAGGATGAGGGGGAAGAAAGAGGAGGAGGAAGAAAGAGGAGAGGAGGAGGAGGAGGAGGAGGAGAAGGAGGAGGAGGAGGAGAAGGAGGAGGAGCAGGAAGAGGAGGAGGAGGAGGAGGAGGAGGAGGAGGAGAACGGAGAGGAGGCGGCGGAGGAGAAGACGGAGGAGGAGCAGGAGGAGGAATATGATGATGATGATGATGATGATGATGATGATGATGATGATGATGATGATGAGGATGAGGATGAGGATGAGGATGAGGATGAGGATGAGGATGAGGATGAGGATGAGGATGAGGATGAGGATGAGGATGATGATGATGATGATGATGATGATGATGCTGATGATGATGATGATGCTGATGCTGATGCTGATGCTGATGCTGATGCTGATGCTGGTGCTGGTGCTGGCGCTGGTGCTGGTGCTGGTGCTCGTGCTGGTGCTGGTGCTGGTGCTGGTGCTGGTGCTGATGCTGCTGCTGGTGCTGGTGCTGGTGCTGGTGCTGGTGATGCTGCTGATGCTGGTGCTGATGCTGCTGATGATGATGATGATGCTGATGATGCTGATGCTGGTGCTGGTGCTGATGCTGATGCTGACGCTGATGCTGGTGATGATGATGATCATGATGATGATGACGATGATGATGATGCTGGTGCTGATGCTCATGCTGGTGATGATGATGATGATGTTGATGATGCTGATGCTGATGATGCTGGTGATGATGATGACGATGCGATGATGATGATGATGATGATGATGATGATGATGATGATGATGATGATGATGATGATGATGATGATGATGATGATGATGATGATGATGATGCTGATGCTGATGCTGATGCTGATGCTGATGCTGATGCTGATGACGACGATTATGATGATGATGATGATGATGATGATGATGATGATGATGATGATGATGACGATGATGACGATGCTGATGATGATGCTGCTGATGATGATGATGAGGAGGAATAGGAGGAGTAGGTGGAGGGGAGAAGAGAGAGGAGGAAGAGGAAGAGGAGGAGGAAGAGGAGAAGGATGGAGGAGGGGAGGAGGAGGAAGGAGGAGTGAGGAGGAGGAGGAGGAGGAGGAGGAGGAGGAGGAGGAGGGAGGAGGGGGATGGGGGGGGGAGGATAAGAGGGGGAGGGTGGGAGGAGGGGGAGAGGAGGAGGAAGAGGAGGGGAAGGAGGCGGCGGAGGAGGAGCAGGAGGGGGAGGAGGAGGAGGAGGAGGAGGAGGAGGAGGAGGATAGGGAGGAGAGGGAGGGGGAGGAGGAGGGAGGAGGAGGATTTTTTGGGGCACGACCGCCGCACTGCATGCTTAAAGCACACTGAAAGTGTCTTGGAGCAGGGTCACTCCACTCTCCTTGGTGTGGAAGCCCTTGCAAATCTGATTCCAGCTATGCGGATTATACTTCCTGTCGAGACCTGTCTTGCTATCTTTCGGCGGTCCCGTGCACAGACTGCCGAGCTTGGCGAGACGGCCACCTGAAGTATAACCCTTGCAGATAGTACACACGACCAGCACCGAGTCATTTGAGCAGTCGAAAATTACGCATCTGTGCTGGAAATCTCGGAGTGCCTGCACGTAGATGAGGGAGGAGGAGGAGGAGGAGGAGGTTGAGGAGGAGGAGGAGGAGGAGGTGGAGGAAGAGGAGGAGGTGGAGGTGGAGGAGGAGGAGGAAGAGGAGGAGGTGGAGGAGGAAGAGGAGGAGGTGGAGGAGGAAAGGACGAGGGGGACCAGAGCAAACGAAAGGCGCATTAGCGATGCTGCAACGCACCCTCTCCTTCCAAGCCCCCTCCCCGCACGTCAGTGCAAGCTTCCCTCTTCACCACAAGCAGCGCCCCACCCTCCTAAACGACCATCACAGGTGGACCTGTCATTTTGGCAAGGGCGCCGCTCCGAAACGGAGTTCCCTCGCATCTGTCCTGCGAGTCATCAGCGACGCGAGACGGCAGGATCAGGCAGTTCGACGAGGTGTCCGGCGAGATCCCATGCTCGAGGGAGGACCGCCCCCCCGCCATCCGCGCAACTGTTGCACCGGCTTGCGCTGGTGGCCCTTGCCTCCGAGGCGGTCTCAACGACAGCTCCACATTTGGCAACAGAGCCGCCCTGGATCCTGCAGCGCTACGCCGTCTGTGTTGAAGCTCCTTGTCGTTCAGATTGGCGAGGCCTCCAGCGAGAATCCACTGTTCAAGAGAGCAGTGCTCCATCCTTCCCAACGCTGCATTCAGCAGCGACTGCGTGCGGCGCTGGGGCGCCAAGTGACCCCGTTCTGACAACGACCTGTGCTCAGTCCCGTATACCGCTGCGGAATTTTGACACGACTATGCGCGGCGCGAGGGCGAGATCCCCATTCTGACAAGGAACCGCCCTCCATCCTTGAAGCAGTTGCAAACTTCTGAGAGACGAATGTGCGTGGCGCTAAGGCGCGAGCCACACTTTGAAAACGCTACCCCTCGATCATTGAAGCTGTTGCATGCTTCAAAGACGACTGTGCGCCGCGCTCAGGGGATAGCCACAATCTTGAAAACGATCCTCCCCTCCATCCTTGAAGCTGTTAATGGTCTTTAGCACGAATGTGCGCTGGGCACCAGCTTGGAAAGGAACCGCCCTTCATCCTTGAAGCTACCTTTCGAAACGGATGCACGTGGCGCCAATGCGAGAGCCACATTTAGAAAACGGCATGTGCTCCATATTTGACGCTGTTGCAGACTCGGACGACGAATGCGCGCAACGCAGGCGAGATCTACATTAGGGGAACCACCTGTGCTGCATTTTTGGGGCTGTTGCACATGTCAAGCTTCAGGATCAGAAGTAGTATCAGGCGAGACGACCGGCCCGCCCTACCGACAAGTTTGGGAATACCGCGGAGGAGGATGAGGAGGAGGGAGGTGGAGGAAGGAGAAGCAGGATCCTCCCCCGCAGCGAGCGGCGGTGGATCCGATCGGGCTGCGCCTGCGGCGCACGCCGATCCAAGCGGCGCCGGCGCGCGCGCGCGCACCGAGGTCGAGGCGCGGCTGCAGAGGAGAGCGTGGACGGCTGCGGCGGCGACGTCCACGACGTCTGTGTTTCGTTTCCTTCCTCCTTCGCTCTTTCCTCATCATGCTCTTCCTCCCCTGGCATCGTTCTCTTACACTTTAGGACACGGCTTGCAGATAGATTTGATTCCCTTCGCGCGGTGCAGTGCTTCGAAGGAAGGTTTCGGGCCCTCAGCAGGAGGTCAGCCGCCCTGAGATGTCTCTTGAGAGGTTCTTAGGGGTCCTTCATGGCCGTTTGGGGGGCATTCTGGCGGTCCCGGGGGCCTCCTGGAGCGTCTTGGGTGCCTTGGGGGAGCCCCTTGGGGCCTCTTGGGGTTTCTTGGGCGCCTCTTGGGGCCCTCTTGGGAGCCTCGGGGGCAATCTTGGAGGAGATCGATCAAAGAAGGGGGGGTAGTTCCTTAGCGTCGCCTCCCCCCAGGAGGCCAACATGGGCGCAACCCTTTGGCACTCGAGGCCTTCTTGGATGCTCCAGCGGCCAGCGAGCGCTCCCCCTCCAGGTCCAGGGGAAGGGGCTAGGGGGAGGGGTCAAGACACCCTCCCGGCCCACAAGCCGTTTCGCTCCCTCCCACCCGCCATCTCAACTCGGCATCGTTTAACCAATTCCCCTCCCTATCCCCATCCCCTTCGACACCCGCACCAAATTACCGCCCCAGTTGAGGATACACCCCTCGAAACCCGAAGGGAACGACCAATATTCCCATCTGGGGGGGTAAATCGGCTAGTGGGGCCCAGGCCACGCCGCTGGGGATGGGGATCGGTGATGCCCATCAACACATGGCACCCAAGCCGCAGCGTGTTCAGCACTAGCTTTTGGATTGACAGCTCGTAGGAACTAAAACAGAACCCATGGGCGCAACGCGGGGACGAGGTGCGCCAGACGCGCCACGCGCGCCAGGTGCGCCAGGCACCCCTTTGGCACAAGCGCGCCGGGCACGCACGCCTAGCGCGCCAGATGCGCCACGTAATCCACGTGCGCCATATGTCGTGTGCCGCAGGCTCCAGCCGCGCCAGGTGCGCCACGTTCGGGGCACGCGCAGAGTGTGCGAGGCGCGCCTGTGCACGTGGCAGTACATTCGGGAAACGTGTCGGCCCCCACCATCCTTGCCGGAAGCCAGTGCGCAATCGCTGCGGGGTGGGTGGCCATCAGATGGTGGGCCTGCCAATAGTATGCAATATGCCAGCACCCCCGCCGTCCCAGTTAAAAACCACTGCTCAGTGATCGTGTGGTGCCCGCGCATGATCTAGATTTTGCCTCGAAGTGTAATCTGTATTGTTATTTGACAGGGATGCTGGCCTTGCGCGCAGCATTCAATTTGCGGCCCCCCCTTCCGCCCATGTCAAAAACAGTATAAAGTGCTCGCGGCCCCCCCGATCTGGACCCAAGATGTTGCCCTAAGGTGGACGTCGCATTGTTTTTTGACAGGGAAGGTTGGGGTGGTACCCTCATAGGTCCTGGTTGGCTACCGGTCGCCTGGGGGAGTGGGTTCTTATTGATAGGGAGCAATGATAAACCCTTTCCCGAAGTGGACGAAGGGGGTTGGAAGAGGACCCCGCCTAACCACTCACGCCGTAAATGGCTGGTGGGATGCATGGCCAGACCTCGTAAACTTGTCCCTTGCTTATACAGACGGGAGGGCAACCCATGTTCAACGCGGGGATACTGCTGTTCAACACGGGGATCTTGTTGGATACGTCGCTAAACTGTATGACCATACTTTTTCGCATTCCTCTCTGTTCACCGGAAGGATCATGCGAGGCCGTCCCCAAGCAAACACTGGACTCCCGCCCGAATGGCAGGCCCGTGGCGCAGAGGAAGGCCTGTAGGGACGCGGGGGCTTGGGGCGGGAGGGTGTTTTGCAGCATTGCCGAAACAACTTGGGTTTACTTGTGCCACAGCATTGAGAAAGCATCGTCATCATCGTCATCATCGTCACCATCATCGTCATCATCATCATCGTCGTCATCATTGCCGATGAGACTTGGGTTTACTGTGGTCCTCCTCCTTCTCCCTCTACAGTTAAACAATATGAATACGACTCGACTCTTTCCCCGTGCTCTGTCCGGACGGTGGTGGGCCCTCTCGGCGTGTTTTTTGTTTTTTCGGATGACAAGCGCTGTTGTGTCAACGTCTGCTTGCAATCCGACTGTTTTCGGTGTTCCGAAGTGGTGCCCCTGCTGCAGCATGGGCCTGGGTTTCGAACCTGCGCTCCGCTCCCGTCGTTCCGCGTGTCGCTCTCGCCCGAGCGCGGGCCACTTCTCCGGAGCCGAGCCTTCCTCCATCGCTGCCGCCCCGCTCGGTTCTCCTTCCTCCGCCTGCCCCTTTCTGTCCTCCTCCTGCTCCCGCTCCCTCCGCTCCGGCGCCTGCTGCTGCTGTCCTCCTCGTCCTCTTCCTCCCTCGGCATCGCTCGGACGTGTGCGCTTGTTCTCGGCGGGGATTTTCGAGGAGCATCCTGGATCACCCTGCGCGAAAAAAACACACACACACGCACGAAGCCGAACAAACGCCCAGGGAGTGGACGTCCGACCGACGGGGAGCTCCCGCTCATCCTCCTGCTCGCCCGTCGCCGCCGCCTCGGCCCGTGCACGCAGCTCTCCCCCTTTCCGATGGCGCGTGGCACGATGGGGTCGCTTTACTGGAGTTGCAGGTCGGCCACGACGCGCGCCCGCGGACAGAGAGACGATCGGCGCCAATGGGGGGGGAAGGGCGGGGAGGGAGGGACAGAATGTCAGACGAGGCGCGACCGCACCCGGCTTGCCTCCTCATCCTCCTCTGTCTCCCCCTTCTGTTCTTCGGACCTCTTTCTCCTCTTTCCCTTAGGATTCCCTGGGGATTCCTCTCTCTTCCCCTGGGGAATTCGGACGGGAATTCGGAATTCTTCCTCTTTTTTTCTCCCTTCGGGATTTCCTTAAGATTCCCTGGGGATTCCTTCCTTAAGATTCCCTGGGTATTTCGGACCTCGAACCTTCGATCCCCCCTCGTCCAGGAGGTCTGGCTGACCTGTCCGGGGGTGCTGTTCGGCCAGAATTCCGCAGGGGAATCCAGCCGTGGCCACGGGGGGGCACCCCGGGAGGCCCGAAAACACCAGCAGAAGTCTCGCACCGCACCTCGGTCCTCGTCCCCGAAGGTGGCCCTCTCCGCTCCTCCTCCCCGCCGTCCCCCCGCAGGAGGCGCCACCTGGTCCCTGACGTCGAGGCCGCCCTGCCCGCCCCGAAGGCCACCTTCGGCTGCGTGGCGTCCCCGCGGTCGCGCAGCGGCATGCTGCTCGAGAGCCTCATGAAGGGCAGGATTGCCTTCGGCTCCGACGACGACCACGACGCGACGATCTTTATTCTTCCTTCCGCATGTTCTTATTTCCCCTTCGTTGCTTGCGTACTTCCTTCCGTCGTCCTATCCTCCTTCCTTTCTTCTCCCCCTCCTCCTTTCTACATGCATGTAAATATATGTATATGTATGTGTGTATCGTTATATATATAAATATATATATATATATGTGTGTGCGCTATAGCTATATATACATCCATAGTTGTACATATCTAGCTATAGATATAGCGGTATATATATATATATATACGTGTCGGCCCGCATGCTTATATCTGTATACAGATATTCCCATAGTTATTAATATTCTACACATTTATAAAGAGTTACACATACATACATATATATATGTGTATATATACATATATACACACATATATATATATATGTATATGTGTATACGTGTCGATATATATATATATATATATATATATACGTATATAAATATATGTACACATAGCTATAGTTATGTACATATATGTATCCTCCTCCTGCTCCTCCTCCTCTTCCTCGAGGATATTCGAGGAGTTGGCTCGTCGCCGCCCGCTTCTGGAGGCCCAGGTCCTGCCAGAGAGGGGCTCCTGGATGGGGTACAGAGGCCAGTCCTCGAGGCGCAGCAGGGCTTCCAGCTCCCTCCCCGGGAAAGGATCGTATTCGAGGATCGAGGATCGAGGCGTCTGTGATTCGAGGATCGAGGATCGAGGATCGAGGAACGAGGAAAGGAGTCGAGGATCGAGGCGTCTGTGATGTCTGCGAGTTTTTGGGGCCTCCCGAGGTGCCCTCCTTGGCCACGGGTGGGTTCTGGTTTCGGATGCCGCCCAGGAGGCGCCCCGGGACGAGGCCAGGCGGGCCTCCCTGACGAGGAGGATCGACGGCTCGAGGAGGAGGATCGACGAGGAGGAGGATCGACGAGGAGGAGGACAGGAGGCCTCCTTGACGAGGAGGATCGACGAGGAGGATCGACGAGGAGAAGGAGCAGACCTCCAGGCAGGCTTCCTTGACGAGGAGGATCGACGAGGCCTCCAGGCAGGCCTCCTTGACGAGGAGGACCGACGAGGAGGAGGACACGACTTCCTGGACGAGGAGAACCGACGGCTCGAGGGGGAGGACGAGGAGCACGAGGGGGATGAGGAGGAGATGGAAGAAGAGGAGGAGGAGGAGGAGGAGGCGGAAGGGGAGGATGGGGAGGGATGGATGGAGGGAGGGACGGAGGGAGGTCTTCGCTCTGAAAACTCTCGCAGCGATAGCTCGCGAGTCAAATGTTACTTCGCGACGCTGCTCAGAACGGGTCAGGGCTCAGCAACAGCCAATATCCGCATACCCCAACGGAGACTCCGCTCACAATATCCTTGTACGCAGGAGCGCGAGCGAATGCATCAACGAGAGGAGAGGGGAGACGAGAAGAGGAGAGAAGAGAACGGACGGGAAGATATTGTAAGAGAGAGGGGGGGACAACTACGATACGATCACAAGAGAGATAAATATAGAGAGAAGGGTAGAGAGAGAGAGAGAGAGAGCGAGAGGAGATAGCGAGAGAGAGAGGGAGGGAGAGAAAGAGAGAGAGAGAGATAAATATAGAGAGAAAAGAAGAAAGAAGGAGCGAGGGAGAGAGAGAGAGAGAGAGAACAACAAAAAAGAAGAACGAGAGAGAGAGAGAGAGAGAACGAGAGAGAAAGAGAGAGAGAGAGAGAGAGAGATATGCGGACCAGTACACACCAGGTCTGATCCAGGCCACACAGCGGGTATGGACTGCGCGGGCTTGTCGTCTCACACGGCGGGGGGCGCCGCTGAGAGAGCAGGGGTGCTGTCCTCCCCCCCTTGGCGCGCCCGTCTGGCAGCAGAGCAGACTGCTCTTGGATGGATGTTGGATGGTTTGAGCAAGGTGGCTGGGGCTCGTTGCTGCATCGCCGTGGTGGTGGCGATGCCTTGGCATCGCTCGGACGTGTGCTTTTTTTTCCTCGGCGAGGACCATCGAGGAGCATCCTTGATCATCTGGCGAACAAAAAAAACGCACGAAACCGAAACAAACACAGGGAATGGACGTCCGAGCGATGGCGAGGCTGCGGCCTCGCAGACTCCGCGTGCGGGAAAGCCCTCGGCCCGCTCGCGGAGTCTCGCCGCGCGACCGAGGCCTGCTCCGCCCCCCGGGAGGCAGGAGGCCAGCGGCTCCCCGCGCCCCGGAGGGCGTGGGCGGCGACCTGCTGGTCGGGTACACACGATTCTCTTCTGCAGTCGGGGCGCCAAAGAAGGAACCCTTTTCGTTGGGGAGGGGCTCCGTGTTCCTCGATTGTTTCACAGCTTGCCCTAGGTTTTCCTCAGGCTTCCGATGGGAAGTCGAACCATCACTGATGGGAAAAAGGGGCCTCGTTCCTTATTCAGGGTTCCTTAGATCAACGTCCCGACTGTAATTGTTCGAGAGCTCTTCGATTTTCTGGGGGGCCGAGATCCTTTCATTTCTGACTGTTCTGTCCTGGGCCTCTGCCTGGCCACTGCAGTCGGCCCGGACTAGTAGGTCGAGCCTGCCACATCAAGGGTACCCTTTTGTGTCCTGTGCCTCGCGACCCATGCTTCCTACATTCCTGTGGCCCCGTGACCCTCGGAAGGGTCGTGCTTCCTCTCGCGTGCCCTGTCCAATCGGGTCCGACTGCAGGGGGCCAGGGAACAGTTAGCAACGAGCACGACCAGAAATGCTCACGACTCGAAAGCTCTTTGAGTTTCTGGGGGGCCATAAGGTCTTTTCGTTTCTGCTCGTTCTGTCCTGGGCCTCTCCCTGGCCACTAGGGGGCCAGGAACAGTTAGCAACGAGCACCACTAGAACTGCTCACGATTCGACAGCTCTTTCTGATTTTCTGGGGGGCCAAGGCCCTTTCCTTTCTGCTGGTTCTGTCCTGGGCCTCTGCCTGGCCACTATAGGGGGCCAGGAACAGTTCGAGACGAGCACGATTAGAACTGCCCACGGTTCGAAAGGCACGACGCGCCGACTGTCCGTGGAGGCCGCGCCCCGGTGGACGCCCGCCGCGTGGGGGCCGGCCCGTCTGCGCGCGTCCAGGCAGGGCGCCGGGCCGCCCCCGCCCTGTCGTCCGCGTCGTGCCCGTGGCGCGTGGCCGGCGTGGGCTCCCGGCCGGGCAGCACGGCTTCCATCCTCGTCGTCCGAGGACTCAGTTCAGGAGAGAAGGAAACACACAGACACAATTCATCGTCGACTCCCAGGAAAACATGGGCAAATATGGGAAGTGGGGGGGAAGACCAAAAAACAGAAAATATAGGAACAAATGGGGGATCCTGTTATTTGTGTGTAAGTATTTGTGTGTCCCAGGGCCCCTTCATCAGTGGGCCCTGGAAACAACAGGGCCGTTTTTTTTTTACCGGTTCCGTTTTGCCGTTTTTGCTGCCGGTTTCGCTTTGCCGTTTTTGTTACCGGTTCCGTCGCCGTTTCCTTGACGGGTTCCCGCTCCAGTTCCACTCCTGGAGCCGTTTTTGCTGCCGCTTCCGGTCGCCGTTATTTTGCCGTTTCCATTTTCAAGGGGCATTTTTTCGGAAGCGGTGAAAGAACGGCCCTGCCTTTTTCCGCGCCCGAGCGGGTCATGGCCTTCGCCTTCGATGCCGTCGGGCAGGTTCCCCAGGGGTCGTCGGGGTCGTCGAAGATGTCAGGCCCTGGGGTGGGCCATGCAGCTGGGCGGGGTCATCCTGTAAGCGTGTTGGCTCGTGTCTTCCGCGCCCCATGGTAAGCGCGTTGGGCTTTATCCCGTTGGGTTCGCCACAGAGTACCGTGCCCGTCGGTCCGGAAGGGGAAGAGCACGGTGGCGCCGATCATGGATCGCGACGGCGGTGCTGTGCAACACCGCCGCGGGTTTGTGTCGCAATCCAGTTGTATCGATGAGACGTGGCTGCAGAGCGCGCGAGAGTGCTCTGGCAGCGGCAAGGTCGTTGCCACGGCGGTTGGAAGCCCCAGCGATAGGAGGGATGCGGCCATCGGTTATGCCTTGCTCGTCGAGGTGGCTTTCGACTTTTGTCGATTTGAACGTGTCCAGTTTTGTTTGAAGCACGCGGTGGAGGAGGAGGAGGAGAAGGATCATGCAGGAGGCGGAGGGTAAGGAGAGGAGGGAGAGCATTCGACGCATGAGGAGACGACTGCACGTTTCGTTGGTGTTGGTGGAGTGGGTGGGGGGGAGGTGCTGGGGGGGGGACCACCCACACGCACATATTTATGTATTGATTTACATGTGTACGCGCATATGAACATGTGCATGTTCGTGTACATACATCGTACATGCATGTACTACATGCCAGCATACGTAATGTGGGAGTGACGTGCGTACATGTTTATGTATAACACGTTGAGAGAGAGAGGGAGAGACAGAGAGAGAGAGAGAACTATAGAGGAAGCACATAAATATGTATACTGAGAAAACAGGAGAGCGTGAGAGAGAAACATAACTGGGATCAAGATAAAGAGATGAGCAACGACAGGCACGCACTGGCATAAACAGACGGATCGGCTGGTGGTTGGTGAGCCGCAATTCACGGCTAGCGAACTAAGCGTTGTCTCGTTCTGGCGCTCGCTCTCACCCTCCCCTTTTCTGCCTCCTTTGCAATGGGAGTTCTTGCTGCGAGGAAGATGGACATGAAGAGGGCCAGGCGGGCGGCGTCTCGCATCTGCGACCCGAGGCCCCCCTCGCCAACGCCCGGGTCGAGAGGGGGGAGGGAGAGGACAGCCAGAGTGAAGCCAGAATGCATCCACGATGCTGCAGCACACCCTCCCGTCCCAAGGCCCCGCCTCGCAAGTCCAGGACAGCCGTGCTCGTCCACTGCGGGAAGCACGCCCTGAACATCGATCGTTCAATGGGCTTGCCAATCAGGCGGAAGCCTTGCTTTGGCATGGATCCCCCTGCACATTTTTAGCAGTACGAACTGCGATGAGGTAGGGTCATGAAGTTTACGGAAGTGTCCAGCGAGATCCTCCGTTTGAGCAGGCTCCGTTTTTTGTTTGTTGCACCGTCATACAGTTGAGTTATAGTTCGTAAAATTTTATTTATACATATCCATTCGAAGTTTCAAGCGATAGTCTCATGGTTTAGAAGAGCCGCCCTTCGTCCGTGTAGTTGCTGTCAGAATGTATGTTCCAAGTAACCAAGTTTGACGACGTCCCAGTAATGAGCCACATGGCGCAAACCCATGGCCGTTGATCCTTGTAGTTGGTGGCAACGTGTCAGACGATTGTGCGCGGCGCTAAGGCGAGACCCACATTGTAACAACCAGCCGTCTTTCAAGCTTGTATTTGCTGAATGCTTGTACGACGAATGGGTGCGGCATTGAGGCGAGAGCCACATTTTGAGCACTTTCTCGCCCTACATCTGTGTAGCTGTCTGAGCTGTCAAGCGTCAGGGTCATAAGCTGTGAGGAGGTCTTGGGCGAAACGACTGGCTCGCCCTACTTTCACGTCTGGTGGAGGGCCCATACGGAATTATTTTTTAAGGCAGAGGGATGGAGAAGGTTCAGCAGGGGCAGGATGAAAAGGAGGGCGAGGACATGGAGCGGGAGGATGGGTGAGGATGGGGCGGGTGGGGGACGAGATGCAGGATGACGAGGAGGAGGAGGAGGAAGACGATGCTGATGCTGATGATGATAATGATGATGCTGATGATGATGATGCTGGTGCTGGTGCTGGTGCTGATCATGATGATGATGATGATGATGATGATGATGATGATGATGATGATGATGATGATGATGATGATGATGATGATGATGATGATGATGATAATGACGGTGATGACGGTGATGATGAGGAGGAGGAGGAGGAGGAGGAGGAGGGCGAAGAGAGAAGGGAGAGGTACGAAGAATATGAGGCAGGGGGGCGGATGCCAGGGCTTCGCGGGGCCCCCGTCGTCAGAGCACCGAGGGTGGAGGAGCAGGGGAGGCCCCGGAGGCAGTGTCGCGATGACAGAGTCCCGGAGCCGGCCATGCCAGGGGATGATCGGGAGCGTCCAAGAAGGGGCACGGTCGCGCGCGCCAAAGGCACTTTGGAAGTGCTTTCGGGGCGGCGCAGGGCGCGACAAAATTATCGGCGTTTGCGTGCCAGGGCATTTTCTGTTGCGGAACTGGGCGCCCTGGCGCGGACGGCCGAACGACCCCTGCAGCGGGACGCCCTGGCAACACGGTTGCCGCCGCAAAAATTGCTCGTTCAACGCTGGTGCCGCGCAAAGGCGGCGCCGCGCAACGGCGGCGCCGAACAAAGGACTGGGCGGGTGTGCACACGGGCTCGTCCTGCCCAGCGAAGGAACCGCCGGAAGGTCCCACAGGGGAGGCGGCCAGGGGGGTCTTCATCGCCGCCGAGCCCGCTGGCACGCCGAGTGGGCAAGTCAGTGCAGGAAAATTAGGTGCACGGGATCCTTCTCCTTCGGATGAGGCGTCTGTCAAGCCAGTCGGGCTTGTCAGGCGGGGGCATCGGCTTCGGTCCTTTGCTGATTTCGCGAGCCCGAGGATCTGCGGTCCATGGGCATCGGCTTGAGTCCTTCGCTCCAGGCTGTGTGCAGTTTTACTGTGACAGCTCATTCCCTGTGCCTTCAGTGGGTACGTACTTGCTAACGGTGCCCAGCCCACAGATCTCTGGGACAGGGGTCCGCAAGGGCCGCACAACCCCGAGCACGGCTTGCACATCATGGTTTGCGCCATGAGTTCTCTCAGGTTCCATTGCCCTCTCTTCTTTTGTCGAGACGTTCCTTGGCCCCCCTCGTCCGCTCACATGTTCTAGGACTCCCAGGTGAGATCCGAGTACATGGGTTCGGAAGATCGCACCGCATCGCCGATGCATCGGCGATTCGGCTCGATGAGGAGCCCGAGTTTCTCCATGCCGACGTCGCCAGTGCATCACCGACGTTGCCGGTGCATCGCTGATGCATCAGCGATGCGGCACGATCCTTCGACCACATCTACTCCGACCCCATCTAGGAAGCCTCTCACCCTCGCGTCCCCCCCGCCGAGGTACAGCTGCAAGGACTTCTACGAGGACATCACCGCGGCCTTCCCGGAGCCCGGACAACGGAAATCGCCGGGGCGGTCCAGTGTGCTCGCCTCTTCCCTGATGCCTCTGCGTTGCACTGATAACTTAGGCGGCCTCGATGTTACGCTGAGCTGGTGCGCGGGCTGACAATCAGGAGGGGGAAAAACACACAGACACAATCATTGATTGTGTCTGTGTGCTTTTTTCCCTCCTGGGGAATCGGCGACTCATTGTCAATTCGTCGCCGACTCCCCCAGGAAATCAGGGAAACTGTGGGGAGTGGGGCGGAAGGCAAAAACCCAGAAAATAGTGGAACATATGGGGAATCTATTTTTTACTTGTGTGTGTTTACTGGTGTGTCCCAGGGCCCCATTCAGACAAGGGGCACCTCGCCCTCGGCGCCTCTCCCGCCCTCGGCCCTCGGGCGGGGGGCCCCGCGGAGGCCGCGTGGCGGCGGGAAAGGCGCCGCCGGGAGCCGGCGGAAGGGCGGCGGACGGCGGCGCGGGGCCTAAAAGAGAGACGGGGGTCGGTGCAAACGGGGGCCAGCCAGGGCATCCTCCCTCCTCCTCCTCCTCCTCCTCCTCCTCCTCCTCCTCCTCCTCCTCCTCCTCCTCCTCCTCCTCCTCCCCCTCCTCCTCCTCCTCCTCCTCCCCCTCCTCCCTCCTCCTCCTCCTCCTCCTCCTCCTCCTCCTCTCCTCCTCCTCCTCCTCCTCCTCCTCCTCCTCCTCCTCCTCCTCCTCCTCCTCTCCCCCGTCGTCCCTCCCTCCTCTTGTTCCTCCTGCTCCTCACAGGATCCTGCAGGATCCTGCGAAGAGCCCCTCTGGCTGGCCCGGGCCAGCGAGCCGCTCGTGGCCGCGAGGCGGCCGCGCATAGATGGGCTGGCCCGGGTTTGCGAAGACCTGCGTTGCAGTGTTTGTTGTCCTGCATTGCAATTTTGCGGTTTCCTGCTGACCCGGGTCTGGATTGACCCGGGTCAGAAGCCCCTGAGGCGGCGTGAGACAGAGCGGAGCACCATGCCGAGCCAGAGGCCGTCTGGCTCCGAGTGGTGCTCTCGCCCCTGAGACAGTTGACGTACTTGTGCTGAGGACTCGACCTGGAGATCGAGCCTGGGGTAAGGCGAGTCGGGGGCAGATCGGTGACGCGGCCGATCCCCCGGCTGCTCGAGAGCTGGCCGCACTTCTGGCCCGAGCTGGCGCTCTCGCAGCGCCGGCTGCACGCCTGGCCCCTTGGCCGGTGCCGCCACCTCGGGGCGTGCCTCGGAGGTCGCCCCGGCGCTGGCCACAGGCCCAGCTCGGAGGGGTCCGCGCGCGCCTCGTCGGCGGCCGAGTTGAGGTGCCCGAGCGCCCAGCGAGGCTGCCGACCAGGAGGCCTCCGGCCTGACGGCTCTCCCGGCGATGCGTCGCGAGCTGGAGCTTCAAGTCGCGGCGCTGTGGAGAACAGGTCGGCGACAGCCCACAGCCCACATGCCTCAGCGGCGATTCCGCTCACGATGCATTGTAGGCAAGAGCGCGAGCGAACGCATCAGAGAGAGAGAGAGAGGAGGGGAGAAGAGAAGAGGAGACAAGAGAAGATAACCTAATGCAAGGTAAATGAAGGGAGTCTAAGGTGAGAGAGAGGGAGATAAACAAGAACAAGAGAAAATAAGTGAAGAGTAAGAGTTAGAGAGGGAGAGGGAGAGAAGGCAAGAGGGAGGCAAATAAAGAGGGATGGAGAGAGGGGGAGACTGAGCTATTCACTTCCCTGGGGGCTCCCAGACCTGCGAGGAGCTGGGGCTCTACCTGTGCGGCGACATGACCAGCGGACGCGCTGGCGAGGACGAGTACCAGCGCACGCTAGGCGCCCGCCCTCAGAACGTTCTGGGCTGCGAGGATTGCCGCTGCCGTGGAGTTGGTCGGGAGCGGCCAAGAGGGGTGGTGATGACTGGGGTCTGAGTGGATCTCATAGCCGGGGCCATGAAACCTCGCCAGACGTCCTGGCCGCCTTTTCTTATTATCCTTCTTCTTATTAGTATTATTATTCCATTTCTGTTTCTTATAATTATGATTGTGATTATAGTCCTTACTCTTCGACTTTCAAAATTCAAGGGGGGAGAGAACACCCGACCCCCATATCCGACGTGTACAAGACGGCCCTGGGCGTTGCCTCAGCCCTGCCTTCTTCGATCCCTCGGCTGTACACGTTTAATAAAAGGCTCTGCTTGTCGGGGCTCTTACTCTGAGGGTGTTTTTTTTGATGGGCCTGTCTTCCACCACCACCACCACCACCATAAGTTGGAGGGGGGAAGGAGAAGGAGGACGAGGAGGAGGAGGAGGAGGAGGACGAGGAGGAGGGCCCCCTCCTCCTCCAACGTATGGTGGTGGTGGTGGTGGTGGTGGTGGTGGTGGTGGTGGTGGAAAACGGGCCCAGCCTTTTTTTCTGCTCTCTCCAAAGGCGTCCCCTGCCTCCCCCCCCTTCCTTGTCCGCGCACGTGCCTCGAACCATGGGCCGCGACCCCCCTCCCGTGGAGGTTGTATCTCCGCCCCCTGGAACATGTGCTTTTTTACTTATGAGCAATCCATGGACTCCTGTGGGTTTGGGGCCTGCCACAACTACAGTGAGACCAATTGGCATACTCATGACATCGAATCTGGATGCCTTTGCATCTGGATGCCCCCCCCCCCTCTTGGACGCACCCGCCTTGGAGGCTCCCGTGCCGCCGTGCCCCCCCCCCCGGGGCCCCGAGGCGGCGCGCGGGGGGCCCCGCTGCGCGGGCGCGGGCGCGCGAGGCCGCCCGGCTCGGAGGGGGGCCCCTCCCTGTGGTCCGAGGGGGTGGATGGCCGGGTAAGGTCTTCTTGTGGGCGCAGGGTCCTCCTCGTTCTCCTCCTCCCTCCTCCTCCCTCCTCCTCCTCCTCCTCCCTCCTCCCTCCTCCCTCCTCCCTCCTCCCTCCTCCTCCTCCTCCTCCCTCCTCCCTCCTCCTCCTCCCTCCTCCTCCTCTCCCTCCTCCCCCTCCTCCTCCTCCCTCCTCCTCCTCCTCCTCCTCCTCCTCCTCCTCCTCCTTCTCCCTCCTCCTCCTCCTCCTCCTCCTCCTCCTCCTTCTTCCTCATGACGTGCCCTGAGGGGGGGGTCTTCGAGCCGGGCGCGTGCGATCCCACCCGCCCGCAGGCTCGCGGGCTGGCCCCGGGGCACGCCAGGGGGAGGGGCTGGTTGGCGCGGGGTGGCCCAGAGTTCGGGATCACAACAGGGTCTGGTCTGGTCCGCGTTCGGGTCCTTCGAGTCCCCTCCCGTGATGCCGCGGAGGCCCGCGTACTCGCCTGATCCATTGTGGCCCTGAAGCGGCACTTCAACGGCTGGTTGGTCAGGTCAGCGCTCGGGGTTGCTTTGGTGGCACTCAAGCGCCTCCCTGGGAGGCGCTTGAGTGCCACCAAAGCCAGCGTTGATCGTGGCAGCTGGTTTGGCAAGCACGCTGCCCACTGTCCCTCGTCTTGCACGGGCTCACCAGCCAGTTTTAGTATGGTGGAGTCCCCTTCCCATCAGTTGGGTGATGGCAGTTTTTATCATCGCGTGCTCTCCCATGAAAAAGACTCACGCGCCCCACTTGGAGCCCTCGAAGCACCCACCTTCTGCTCCCCACAGGAAGCAGGCCCGGCCTCGTCGCCCCTGAGCGCTCGCCTAGACTCCCCAGGCCAATCACATCCCCGCGGCCACCTGTACTCGGGCCGGACGACAGGGGGGGGGATTGGGAAAGGGGGGGAGCTGGTTTCGGCCTCACCGAGGGGCCCATTCCTCGATACATAGCCGCCTCCGGCGCCGGGAGGCGCCGGGAACATCCGCTACGTGAGCTGATTCTCAAACACCCCCCCTTTGCTATCCCCCCCTTTCGCCCGGCCCGACGTGTACGGCAGGGTGGGATCCAAGGGCAGGCCGTGCCCCGAAGGCTCATTGAGAGGGAGTGTCGAGCATCCAGGCCGGCTGTCCAACGGGTGCGGCGGCAGGGGCGGGCGCCAATGCATAGGCAGAGGTATGCAGCGCCGGTCGCCGGGTGTGTGTGTGGCCCAGAGGGCAGGCTCTCTCTCTCTTTGAAGGGGCCCCAGGACACACAAATAAATACACAAATAAACATATCCCCAATATTTTCCCATATTTTCTAGGTTTCTGTCTTCCCACCCACTTCCCATATTTTCATATATTTTCTGGGGGATCGAGGATTAATTGTGTCTGTGTGTTTTTTCCCCTCCTGACTCTTGCCTGCCCTCTTCCCCCGGGGGGGGCTCCCTCGCCATGGATGTGCCTCGTCCTTCCAGGCATGCGGCGCCCTGCGCTTTCGGCACGGCGTCCCCGGGAGGCCAGACCCCTTCCCCAGGGCCGGTTTGTCACCCGCGTCGCTTCTGGACTGTCTTGTGGGGTCTGGCGAGGGCCTCCAGGGGCCGAACATCATGAGACATTCGCCGCCCTGGTTTTCTCTTTACGACGCGGTCCTGTTTGGCTGCTTTTCGCTGGCGGACCCCCCTCTTTCAGGAGGAAAAGAAACACACAGACACAATTAATCCTCGATTCCCAAGAAATATGGGAAAATATGGGAAGTGGGGGGGAAGCCAGAAACCCAGAAAATATAGGAAAATATTGGGAATGTCTTTATCTGTGTGTCCTGGGGCCCCTTCAGATTCTTCCTTCGCCACCGCCGATTCTGGCGCCCGGGGTGCGCTGGGGAGGGAGGCGTCGGGGGACGGGTCCAGATTTTTGAGTCGGGCGCGTCCCGCTGCAGGAGGAGTGCGCGCGAGAGGCCCACTTGGTTTAAGTCTGGCCTGTCCCCCTACAGGGGGATTTTCGATGAAAAATTTAAAAAAATACCAAAAGTAATTTAAACATAGTCCAACAATAGTCCAAAAGTAGTCCAAATATACCCGAAAAATAGTCCATCTATTTTTGGACCTTTTTGGTGTATTTTTGGGGTATTGCTTATTCTTCATCGAAAGTTCCCCTGTAGGGGGACACGCCCGACATAATGCTTGGTTGAGTGTTCAACTGATGTTCAGAACCTACGGTTTGCTCAAGAATCTGCAAGAGCGCGAGCGCATGTTTTGTTTTCTGTTGAAAATCCCAGTTGCGAAACCATGTGCTTCCATGTCTTCGTGACGCTCCGTTTGGACGACATCCCTACGACACCCAACGCTTATCTCAAAGAATTTCCGGTAAGTCCGGGGGGGGGAGGTTCTAATCATCGTTTCGAAAGGAGGTTTTACCAGGTGCACGCAACCGGTGCTCACTAATGAGTTCTTAATTCCAGTTTTCGCGCAGTCACCCCATTCACCCACTCGCAAGTTGACTTGCAAGGCCCATGGGGCGGCAACTGTGATACCTCTTCGGCGCTGGCTGGCGCATCGCTGCGGCCGCTCTAGCGCGTTCGGGCTCATGCGCGGAGCAGCCGGCCAGTGTAGCGCGACCGACGCGGCCGCGGTGGCGCTGACCGTTGGGCACGTCCCAGCGCGTCTCACAAGCCGCGCTGGCGCGTAGGCTCTTCAGTGCGAGTCGGTGATTCGAAAACGGCAGACACGGTGATGATTGCAGCGCTGCTACTGACGACGATAACGGTGACGACGGCAATGGCGCCGATGTTAATCACGCCGGTGACGATGATGGTGTCCACGCGATTGTGCTAAAGGTTTTGCAAGATTTCGACGTGCGCGCGGCCGACGGGCTCGAGCGACCGACGTGTTGTCATCTGACAGGGGCTGTGCCCCCCCCAGCACGCCCGCAAGGGCGTCCCAATGATTTCGAAGCGCGCGCGCGAGAGGCCCGCTTGGTCGCATGTCGTGAAACGTTTCATCAGAACTCGCAAGAGCGCGCGCGCAGACATTACATGCCCATGGATGTTGGAACATCATGTGTGTGTGCGTGTGTGTGTGTGTGTGTTGTAGAAACTTCTCGGGGCAGTCGGTTATGAGTTCCTCACGATACTGAAGGTTGTTCATGGATTCTGGCTTGCGCGCGCGACGACCAGCGCGTGCGCAGTTCGTCTCATTCTTTTGCGAAGGGTTCTTGTGAATTGATGATTTGTGATAAACGAATGCGCGCGCTCTTTTTTTTGCGTGGGATGAGGGGGTGTCGACAACGGCCTGGTTTGGGATGGCTTGAGCTCAGATTTCGAATGCGCGATGGGGCAGGACCATTCGTGATACGTATTCCAAGGCCACTCGTTCACGATTGCGCGTGTGCTGGGCGCTGGATGCTGCCTCTCCGCGGCCGCGGTTGTTCGCGTAGACTCGCGCGCAGGGCGACGAGCTGGTTCGCACCGCGGATGCGGCCGCGATGGCGCTTGCTGGTGGGAATTTCCCGCTGAGTCTCAGAAATTGCACTAGCGCGCGGGGACGTCAATGCAAGTCGGGGGCTCGGGCGGGCACGGTGTCGTGTTGTCTTCGGCAACGGCGGCATGGATGTTTTTTCAGTAGCGCTTGTGGTGGCGGTGGTGCTGGTAACCGTGCCGATGTTGACGACGACGATGACGATGATGATGATGATGATGACGATGATGTTGATGATGGTGACGATGTTGATGATGGTGATGACGTCCACGTGTCGGTGATGACCATGGTTGGCTGATAGTGACGGCGCTGGCGACGATGGGCAATGACGATAACGGCGGTGATGCGATGCCGCTGATGAGGGTGACTGCGCGAGAGCGCGCGCGCAGAAATTCAGTTACATCGGCATAGTATTGTTGAAGTAGATTCTGGCCCGCGTGTCTTGAGGAACTATATCTTGAACCGCTTTGAACAACAATTGTGTTGGACGGATTTCGACCCGTGCATGGCGGCACGCGGGTAAGGCCTGTGTGGTACTATGTGGCACGGGCTCGCGCATCGGGCGCATGTTGGACCAACGCGAATGCACCGAGAGCTGCGTGGGCTGAACATGTACAACGGCGCGTGGGCAGAATAGCTGCAAGATCTCGGATGGAGCATTCGCTGCTTCCTGATGCGTTTTAATGTTGATTCGCTTGCAGCATTCGTGCATGTTGCATGGGTTTGACATTTGCGCCCGCGCGTGTATGTGCGTGTTCATGTGTATGCGTGCGTTTTTTTGTTTGTAAAAAAGAAGAGTTCTTGATACATGACCTCTTGAGATGTAAGCACGTGCGCGTTTTTGATGTTTCTGACTTGGTCGTGGATGAAGGAGAGGATCGATACCGGCCCGGCCGTGGCTGCTTGGTTTCTTGCGTGGAAAACGATCAAGGAGGCATAACCATTTGTTGATGTGCGGTGCCCCAAGGGACCATTTCATCGTTTGGTGCGAAAGGTTGAGGGGGGGATGTGGTGTAAGCTATGAGGTGTAAGCCACCAGTGTTCAGCCTAAAATTGTCCACAACACTGCTCGCGCAAACATCCCACCCACCCACCCGCAACTTCGTTTGCAAACCCCAGGCGGCGTCGATTGCGATGAGTGCTTGGCACTGGCTGGTGCATTTCTGCGGCCGCGACGTCCCGCGCATGCACGCGCCCGCAGCGGCCAGCTACTTTGGCGCGACCGACGCAGCCGCGGTGGCGCGGACCGCTGGCCACACCCTTTCGGGCACTTCGGTGCGAGTCGGCGACTTGGGCGGTCGCGGTATCATGGCAACTTCGACAACGTCAGACACGATGTTGGCGATGCTGACGGCGACGACGGCAGGGCAAATGACGGCGCGGATGCTGATCACGCCGACGACGATGACGGCATCCTCGCGTCGGTGATGAAGGTGTTGGGAAGAGTTCGACCTGTACGCGCGACCGACGCGCGGGAGTGGCCCACATTGTCTTATTTGACACGGAACGTGTCCCCCCCAGCACGCGCGCAAAAACGTAATAATGATTTCGGCATGCGGTTCCAGATGCCCCTTCGGCGGAATTCTTTGAACATGCTGAGCTTTGTTGTATGATTGCTTCTAGAAGTCGTAAGAGCGCGGGCGCACGTTTTTTTCTTTGAGTTTTATTTTTGTTGTTTTTGAAACTGGTGTTGCTAAGCCATTTATTGTTCATATATATATATATATGTGGCGCTTGGACAGTAGGTTTTGACATCGCTACGAAACCGTAAGCCGTAAGTTTGTGACGGATTTCGGCATGCGCGGCGGCCACCAGTGGCCAATTGGCGCAAAGCCAAGGGGCTCCTCCAAGCGCGCGAGGCGCCCCTTGGACGCCCACCGGCGGCGGCCAAGGGGCGGTCAGTGGGCGAAAGCCCGCACATCGTTGCCAGCGCATGCGGCGCCCACGGGGTGCCCACGGGCTGCAACGAGCGGTCACCGGGCGAAGCTCCTCCTCCTCCTCCTCCTCCACTTCCTCCTCCTCCTCCTCCTGTTCCTCCTCCTCCTCCTCCGCCCCCTCCTGCTCCTTCTCCTCCACTTCTTCTCCTCCTCCTCCTCCTCCTCCTCCTCCTCCTGCTCCTCCTCCTCCTCCTCCTGTTCCTCCTCCTCTCTCCTCCTCTCCTCCTCCTCCTCCTCCTCCTCCTCCTTCCCCTCCTCCTCCCCCTCCTCCTCCTCCTCCTCCTCCTCCTCCTCCTCCTCCTCCTCCTCCTCCTCCTCCTCCTCCTCCTCCCCCTCCTCCCCCCGCGCTCCCCGCGCGGCGGCCCCCCAGGGAGGAGCCTCCACGCCTGGATCCCCACGCAAACAGGGGAAGAACGAGAATGCAAACCCTCGAAGGCGCATTCTCAGGAGGGAAAAAACACACAGACACAATTAATCGACGATCCCCAGGAAAATATGGGAAAATATGGGAGTTGAGCGGGAAGACAAAAACCCCGAAAATATGGGGACATAGGGGAAACATTTTTTTTTTGTGTGTGTGTGTGTTTATTTTTTGTGTGTCCCAGGGCCCCTTCACACTGAGCGGTGCAGGCGAGTGCCGCCCGAGCTTAACCTCATCTGTCACCGACCCGTGCCGCCGAGATCACCGGGAAAGCACATCATTAACACATCATCATCATCATCATCATCATCATCATCATCAGCAGCAGCAGCAGCAGCAGCAGCATCATCATCATCACCATCATCGTCATCAACACATCACCATCGACCTGCATGCAAGTAATGGAAGAAAGAAGAAGGCAACCCCTTAGTCCAGCGTTGGTTGTGTGAACACCTCGAAATCGGCGAACATCGAGATCCTGCCTTGTGAATGGTGATCTGCGCTGCTGGAATGTTTGTAGACCCGTTCCTGGCACAGCGCCTGCGCTTGTCATGAGCTGCCACATCACTGACGCTGCTCGCGGAAGTACCCAGTCTGTTGACGTTTTGGAGCTCGACGATTTTCTTGGCATCGCTCGGACGTGTGCCGGTTTCATCGGCGAGGACCATCGAGGAGCATCCTGGACCTTCAAGCGAAAAAAACACGCACGACATCGAAAAATGCACAGTGAATGGACGTCCGAGCGACGGCAAGTTTCACGGCGCCAAGCGAGGAGGGGATGTTGCGACCAATTGGTTGCGCTCGTCGCCACCAGATTTGTCACATGTCAGAGCGGGAGGTCTTCTTTCCTCGCTGCGTGCCCCTGGGGTGCGTCCTGCCCAGCATATCGAGGCGTACACATCGTTCATTTCTGATTATTCGAGAGTTCTTTGATTTTTCGGGGGGCCAAGACCCTCTCATTTTGAATTCTTCCATCCTGGGCCTCTTCCTGGCCACTAGGGGGCCAGGAACACTTAGAAACGAGCACAATTAGAAATGAGCACGATTAGAAATGAACGACGTGTATACAGCGGTGCCGTCGAGGAAGCCCCAATGGGCCCTCACAGTCTGAGACATGCAGACCAGCTGTTATCCTCAAAGTTGAATCTCGAGGGGACCCGGGGTTTCACGCCAGGCGCCATGTTCTGCTTCTTCTGGATGATGCGGCTTCACCTTGACGGTGCCCACTCGTTCTGCTTCGGGTTGGACGAGAATTGGAAGCCGCGCCAGAAGCCCTACGACAACAGCTCCGAGGCCGCGGCTTCTTTCCCAGCTTCGGTGCAGGCCATGACGACCATCTCGCCGATCCTGTCTGGGCCCACTCCCAGGTCAAAGATCCGGTGTCCTGCCATCCCAGAAAAGGGCACCATGAGATCCGACGTCGCGAAACAAAAAACACATCGCGAGAGATCATGACCAGAGCCCTAGACCCCACTATTCTGTTGCATTTTTCGAGCCAGTCTTGGGGCCCGAGACCGGACGAAAGCGCCCGGCGTGAAAAACAGATTGGTAACGCACAGGTCTCAGGGCATGAACCCCTTCCAGGCCCAGCACGGGCCCAGCCCAGCAGAAGGGAGGAGGAAGGAGGTAGGAAGGGGAGGAGGAGAGAGGTAGGAAGGGGAGGAAGAGGAGGAGGAGGAGAAGGAGGAGGAGGAGGAGGAGGAGTGAGGAGCCAGAGGAGGAGGAGGAGGAGCAGCAGGAGCAGCAGGAGCAGCAGGAGCAGCAGGAGCAGGAGGAGCTGCGCCCAGCACGGGCCCGCCCATGTTCGGTGAGGCGGTCAGCCCGGCGCCCTCTGGCCAGTCCTGGCGGCGGCTGGGCGTTCGGGCGGAGGGCCCGACATCTGGGCCGACGGGGCGGCGGTGGCGCGCCTCCGCCGTCGAGGCCTCGCGGCTCAGGCGGCGCTCGGGCGGCGGCGCTCGGGCGGCGCTCGTTCGTGGATCGGCTGTCGCCCGAAGAGCAAGAGGTCGTGATGATGTTAAGTCGGGCCTGTCCCTCTACAGGGGGGGAGTAGTCAAAATATTCACAGAATAGCCTGGGGACGTTTTTTTGAGCATGTGTTGACCATGTAGGAGTATCTGTGTTGGCTAGTTTTCATTGTTCCTTGAAAAGCTTCTGTAGAGGGACATGCCCGACTTAACGATAATGATGCGTTCCAAGATTTATGATCTTCCCACCTACTTTAGCCCTGATCACCACGAAGAATTCTGCGAGCACCGAGAACGTTCCGAAGTTTGAGGGGTGTTTCACGTGTCGGGCCCTGGGAGGCGATGCTCGTTCGACGCTGTTTCGATACTTTGCTGGGTGCTCGAAATTATTTCTGGGATGTGCTCGTTAAGTACGATGGGAGCAACATGATTGGTCCAATATGCCAAAACAGTCACAGAAATTCCCATGTCTCCTGATGTTCGGCACTGGCTGCGCCGCTACATGTCTTTAGAAAACCTGGAGCGTATCTTGAGCCAATCTTCAGCGAGGTCAACAGAACCCTGATAGCGCGACGAAGACGTGGTCTCGCTAAGGTCCCCGTCTTTGCATAGGGACAGGAAGTCTGGGCGGCTTGGCCTGCCGCATCTGCAGAAAAGAACCCTCATCCTTACTGTCTGTGGCCCTCCTAACTTAGGTCCCCCCGAAAGGGTTCGGGGCACAGTCAACCCGCATAATAATCGGCGTCACCCCAACATACTTATATCATATGTGCGTCGCCCCCCCGGGGCGATGCGCGCAACGAGAAATCTTATAGTGTATGCGTCGTGGCGGGCGCCTTCTGGCCACACCGCTCGGGAAACGATATACGACCAGATGGGTATACTATATGTTTGGGTCGGACGCGCGCCTCCAAGGAGAACATGTACAGTGGGGGCGCGCATCAAGAAACCATATGCTTTTCGTCAGGGTATCCTGGGTTTCTTCGCTTCGCGCGCTGCGCGGCGACTTCCCGCGGCAGATGAAGGAGCTGCTGCGTTCAGTGTGCTCTCCAGGTTTCCCCTCCGGTGCACCTCGCGCGCGGGTTTTCAGGGTTGGGCTTTCCTTGCGAGGGTTTTTTTGCGGCCGCGCTCGCACCGCAGTGCTGGCATGTCTGTGTGCGTCCCATGGTAGGGACGGGCAAGCTTTCCCCAGGATGGGCATCCCTGCCCCACTCGGCCCAGCCTTCGCCGCTCTCGCCGGCCGGCCTCGCTCGAGCAAACACGTGGGCACGGCCCTCCCAGGCCCTTTGCATCCTTGCCGCGCAGCCTTGTGGTTGTGGCCCGCTGTGCGCATTGTTCGCTGTGAATAATTCGACAGTTCTTTGAGTTTTTTGGGGGGCCAAGATCCTTCAATCTGCACTGCTGCAACTTGTTCGCAACGTCGGATCGCAGGGGGTGACTTCAGACCATCACAGGCCGAGGACAAATCGGGACCAGAGATTCTGAGGGAGTTCCCGAGAAAAATAAAACGTCGCTCCGCGGATTGCTGCGCGCGTGTTCCTGTGAGTCATGTCGAAGGCGCGAGGAACTCGAGGGAAACGCTGGCACTCACTTTGATTGTTGAGGGCGGCTGGGGAAACTACACTTTGTTCGCTTCTAATTGTTCGACAGTTCTTTGATTGGAGAGGCCTGACGGCCGGTGCCGCCGACCCTGATCGAAAGGGCTAGGAGTGGGGGGAGGAAGCGGAGGAGGAGGAGGAGGAGGAGGAGGAGGAGAAGGAGGAGGAGGAGGAGGAGGAGGAGGAGGAGGAGGAGGAGGAGGAGGAGGAGGAGGAGGAGGAAGTGCATCCTTTGTGTGCCCGCTCGAAGAAAGTGCGCCCGGGGAGTGTGATATTCTGACTTGGGACGTGCTCCCAGAAGAGGAAGAAGTGCATCTCGGGCGTGCCCGCTCGAGGAAAATGCGCCCTAGGGGGGTGGTATTTTGACTCGGGGCCCGCTCCCGGGACGCCTCCGCGGGAGGAGGAGGAGGAGGAGGAGGAGGAGGAGGAGGAGGAGGAGGAGGAGGAGGAGAAGGAGGAGAGGAGCAGGAGGAGGAGGAGGAGGAGGAAAAGGAGGAGGAGGAGGACCAGGAGGAGGAGGAAGTGCATCCCGTGCGTGCCCGCTCGAGGAAAGGGCGCCCCGGCGGGCGTCGTATCTGCCCCGGCCCCCCCCCCCCCCCCCTCCCCCCCCCCCTGCGGGGAAGGGATCAAAGGGAAGGGGCTTCCCTTCGACCCCACTACGACGTCGTTTAATTTCGCTTTCGATAGCGCGCTTCAGGAGGAGAGCCCTGGGAGGGGGAGAGCGGAGACGACGGAGACGACGAGTCGAACGGAGAAGCCCTTCACACACGCCGACAGGGTCGGCGGATTTTTTGGGGGGCCAAGATCCTTTCGGTTCTCGTCCTATCCTGGGCCTCTTCCTGGCCACTGGGGGGCCAGGAACAGCTAGAAACGAGCACAGTTAGAAACGAGCACGATGAGCAATGAGCGACGTGTATAGAGATCTGCGTGGGCACCAGCGGCGGGGGCGCGGCTTGCACGCGGAGGCGCAGCACAATTCGCGCTTCGGGCGCGGCCCCGCCCGTGGGGGCGGGGGGCGAGGACCCCGCGGCCGCGGCCGGCCCCGCCCGTGGCTCTGGCTGCCCCCCGCCCGGGCCGCGCGACGACGCGCTGCAGGCGCCGCTGCAGGCCGCTGTCGGATCACCTCGGGGCCGCGCAGCGTGGCGCGCCAGGTTTCGGCGCCCGACGGCTTCTCAAAGAAACTCTGGCCAGGCTGCAGCTCCAGGAGAGCCTCGGACGCGGCTGGAGCCGTCTCGGAGATGCTCGGGGAGTTCTCCATGCAAGCCCGGAGGCGAACCAAATGGCACGCCACACGGCTCCCGGACCTGGTCGCTCCGGAACTCCGCCATCTCAGGTGGTCCCAGACTCCCGGGCTTCACATTTTCAGCCAGAGTCGGGCCGAACGAAAGGGGGGGATAGGGAAAGGGGGGGCTACGAAATCTGCTGCATGCAGCTGGTCTCGGCCCCGCCGCCGGGAGGCGCTGGGAAAATCAGTTACGTGAGCTGATTCTCTACCCTACCCTTTGCTATCACCCCCTTTCATTCCCCCCGACAGAGGCAGGCGAGTGGTTTGTCGCATCGCCCGATGCATTCGGAGTGACGAGCTCCGTTCCCGAAAGGCCGCTGGGCCCGCTGGGCCATCCGCGGAGCTACCGGCGCCCCCGCGCGAGCCCTCAGTGGCGCGCCCACCGCGCACGAGTGGCCACCGGGTGCCACGTGTTCGGCGGGGCTCCGTCTCGGTCACGGCGCGCATCGTCGGTATCGTTCAACCGATCCCCATCCCCATCCCCATCCCCTTCGAGACCCCCTCCAAAGTACCACCCCATTTGGGGATACACCCCTCGAAACCCGAAGGGAACGACCTGTATCCCCATCTAGGGGGCCCAGGCCACGCCGCTGGGGATGGGGATCGGTTAAACGATGCCCAGATCCTGCTTCGCGAAGACGCTTGCGCGCAAGGCGTAGCAGATGTTTTTCGGCGGCGCTCCCCGCGTCTCGAGAAAGCGCATCTGGATTTCAGACATGTCAAATGTTGTACCTGCCCATGCTTCGTCTTAGGATTGGACCTTCTTGGGACACCTCGAGCCGCTCTGGGGGCCCTCTTGTGGCCCTCTCGGATTGTCTTGAGCCCATCTCGGGCCCTCTCGGGGCTCTTAGGAGCTCGTAGGAAATCTCGAGCCGCTCTGGGGGGCCCTCTTGGGGCCCTCTCGGATTGTCTTAAGCCCATCTTGGGCCCTCCTGGGGCTCTCTTTGAAGCCGTCCAGGGGGCGAGCTCGGAGGTCCTCTCGGGACATCTTGAGCCGCTCTGGGGGCCCTCTCAGGACATCTCGAGCCGCTCTGTGGGGCCCTCTTGGGGCCGTCCTTGGATTGTCTTGAGCCCATCTCGGGCCCCCTCCTGGGGTCGGGGGTGGACAGACCCCCCACCCTGACACGCCGATGAGTGGACTGCCCGTTGTCGGTCCTCGAGAGGGCGCCGCGGCCGACCTTTCCCATGCCTGCGCCCGCCAGATTTGGGCCCGAGGCCGTTTCCACGAAGCCACGTCTTGCTAAAGGGGGTTCTTAGGGGGCCACATGCGAACCCTACCCCTAACCCCCCACGATTTCTGAGGGGGAGGCTGGGGCTCGGTTCGTTCGGGAGCTTCCGAGCGACGCGAACCCCGCCCTCCCCCTCAGAAATCGTGGGGGGGGGGGGGGGTAGGGTTCGCGTGTGGCCCCCCTAGTTCTGTCCATCCCCGCTGGGGCGCCCCCTAAGGGCCCCTCCTTTGGGGGGGGGCGATGCTCGGAGGGCCCTCACGGGACACAGCGCGCCTGGGGCGATGCTCGGCCGCCGCCCGCCCGCCGGAGCGGGCCCGACCCCTGCGGACCCCTGCGGGGCCAGGGTCGGGCCCGCCGGAGCGGGGCCTCCCTGGCGGAGCCCTGCGGGGCCAGGTCGGGCCCGTCCCTCCACGGGGGGGGGATCTGCGAAAATAGTCAAAACAACTCGTCTCAATGCCTCGATCCCACTCCTCTCCTCCTCGATCCTCCTCGGTCTCTCGCTGATCCTCGAACCAGAGGAGAAGGGCGATTAAGTGAAGGGGGTAGGAGGCAACAGGAGAATGAAGAGGAGGAGGGAAATCTTTATACAGTTTTTTTCTGTGGGCATGTTTTGGGCATGCTTTGAATCTTCCTGGGGCATGCTTCCTCGTCCAGAATTCGCCGGTGGGGGGGGGGCAGGGCCCGACCGAACGTTAGGGGGCAGTCTTGGGGGGCTTCTTCTTGGGCCGTTTTGGGGGCCGCCTCGGTCGGCCGTCTCTTGGGGGGCCCTGTTTGGGGCCGCCGCTCGTCCAGAGGAGAGCCCTCTCGGCACACCAGGGCCGGAGTCTCTCTTCGGAGTCTCCTGGTCTCAAGTCGGGCTTGCCCCTCCACAGGAGGAATGTACCAAAAAATGAAAAAAATGTCTGGGGGCTATGTTTTGATTTGTTTGTTTCTACTGTGGGGTCTTTTGGGGTATATCCAGTATCGATTGAATATTTTCCAGTATTTCGCCCAAAGTCCGCGTGGTCTTCAGTCGGTGTTGGCCACTTTGGGGTATTTTTGTTTCCGTATTTTTTATATTTCGCACAAAATCCGCCTGTAGGGGGACACGCCCGACCTAATCCTGGTCGGTGCGCGCCCCGGGAGAGGGTTCCGGGAAGCAGTTCTTCGGCGGGGCCAGTACCTTGCCTGCCCCCCCCAAAGATTGGGACATTCTGGTGGACCCAAACGAGGTCCAGCGACAAGGGGGTGGTGCAACATATTAGTGGAGCGTGCAATATACTGCGGTGCGCCAGTGTCGCGAGTTGCACTGCAATGCAATACGATTTTGTTGGCGCAGTGCATTTGCAATACGATTGCCCCAAACCTGTTGCACCGCCCCCTTTCAGCTGGACCCCCTCTGAGGTCAAGAAACGACACGGGTTGGTGGCACGGCTTTTTCTTAGGAGGCGTGGGCCATAGACCTATAGGTAAGGTCCGCGTCTTCTAAGAAGCAGCCTCCGTCTAAGACGCCCTGTGCTCGTTTTCTTATTTACTGTTCTGCCGATCGGCACCGTCCCTCGCACCTCCTCCCCGCCACCGTGGAGTAGATCTTGGCTGTTTGGGGCGTCTGCTTCGAGCAGGTGGAGCCTCCCCCAAAGGACGCACTGTTGCAAACAGTCGCGCGAAGCAGAGATCCGGATCCAGACCCCCCCACCCCCCTGACCTTACAGCAGGGCTAAAAAATAGCACCAGGACGTCAACGTCCTAATTCCTGTCGAGGTTTGAGACTGTCCAGATAGATCTATAGGTCTGGAGTGCTATTTTTGAGCACTCTGGAAGGTCAGGGCCATCCCCCCCCTTCCGTCCAATGTCGAAACGCCGAGTAAGAAAACGTCCACCTTTCCCCCCCCCTCTCTCCCTGCCCCCCCTCTGCGCGCGGCCGGGTGCGCGAGCACGGCCCCGCGCCGCTGATTTTTCGGCACCGGGGTTGGACCTGAGCAGGTTTTGTTGGCACTTCCGTGGGCCGTTTGCGTTTCGCTCTCGTTCTGCAGTAACAGGGCGGATCGTAGACGAAACGACGGATCACGACAGCACAACGAACACGAGCACGAGCAAACGCACACCGTTCAGGTCGAGCCCTGCTCGGCAAAGCCCGCCGCCCCGCCGCGCTCCTCGGGGGGCGCGGGCGCTGCTGGCTCCCGAGGGGGTGGCGCGGGCTCGCGCTCCGCGGGCTCGCGCTGGGACCCCCCCCAAAATGCATCGAGTGCCCCGTAGAGCTAAACAGGACATTCTGTGTGGCACGTGTTCGCAGAGTCGACGGAACACATCATTTTGGGATGGATCGGTTCTGCGGTCGATCCCCATACCCGAAGCTTGCAGGCTCTGGATCCGGCGCAGGGCTCGCGCCCAGCGGTGTTTGGGCGATCCCGTGGACCGGCCTCGTGTCGATTCCGTTGCGCAGCCGCGGCAGAACGACGACACCACGAAGGAACACGAGCACAGCACGAAGCCGAACAACACGCTCCATCCCGAGCCCCGCTCCGGCGTGCCACGTCCGTGCTGGGCACGGCCGATCGCCGAGGCACGACGAGTCCGAGTCCTGCGCCTCCCGGCCCCTTTCTGGGGGGATGCGCCTCCGGGGACCTCTCGGCGGGCCTCGCGGAGACGTCCGAGGCGCTTGCCGGGCCCCAAGATCGGTGTACAGACCTCCCGGCCCAGGCCCGGAAGGCCTGGACACCCGTCGAGGGCCCGCGGCTGGCCTGGCCAGGGCTGGTGGCGGCGTATCGCTTGGAGCTCTCCGCAGGGTGGCCGGAGTGGGCGAGGAGCCCACCCGCCGATCACCAGCCACCAAACCACCCCAACCCAACCCGAAGGCTCAGATTTACCCTCGACTTCCAGTGGGGGGGGGGGTCGGGAAACCTCGATGAACCACATGTGGAACCCTTACCCCCCCCCAACCCGAAGTTCGGGTCTTCGGGTCTTCGGGTTGGGGTGGTCTGGTAGGTAGTCAGCCGAGGGCCAGCGAGCGCCCGCAGGCCCTGGCCGAGTGGGAGCGCCGGAGCGCGTTCCACAGGGACGCCGAGTGGGCGTCGCTGGAGCTGCTGCTGGCCGGCGCCTCGGGGGGGCCCTTCCTCGCCGCCGCGGTGCTGCTGGCTCCGCCCTGGCCAATGTCGCGGGCCGCGCCCCGCCCGAAGAGCCTCGAAGCGGCCCCTCAGGGCCCTTGCATCCTCATCGTGTATCTTTATGATACGGGTCGACTGCATGCCCAGCCCCGTCTCCAGCCAGACCCCCTCCATCTCACCCCGCCAGTCGGGGATGTTCCCCTCGAGACCCGAGGGACGCCGAGTGGGTGTCGCTGGAGCTGCTGCTGACTGGCGCCTCGGGAGAGCCCTTCCTCGGATCTTGGAACCTATACTTTACCAGTGAAGGGCTGTTGTTCGATCCCAGGTTTTTTGAGGGTCGGGGACGGCGTCGGGGTGGTGTGGTGTAGACTTGTTTCCCCGCTTTCTTTGGGGAAACAGAGAGACATGTATACACCAGGATCCCGTATGCACCAGGATCCGCTTTATTGTCTGCAAGTTTCAGAGCAGGCCCGGAACATGCGTCGGTATATAGAGTTCGGTTCCCCCTTTCCCTGCTGCTGCGGTGCTGCTGGCTCCTCCGCCACCGCTGTTCCCTCTTCTGCTCCCGCTCTTGCTCCTTCGTGGGCCTTGGAGGCGGCACGGCGGTTGCTGTGCCGGCCCCGCTGTTCGGTTCTGGCTGCTGTGCGGCTCTGTCGCCATTTGCTGCTCCAGTCCCGCAGGAGCTCGCTGTGGCTTTACGAACCTGATGTTGGTCTCCGTAGCCATTTTGGCTCAAGCACCGCACGCGGCGTGCGAGCTCTTCCCGAGCAGAGCGCGGTCGGCCGCGCGCGGGGTGTGCCTCGGCGGCCGCATGCCGCAGGGCGCGCGGGGCCAGCCGTCGGATCAGCCGTGGCGGCGGCCGCGGGCCTCGCCCGCGCTCCAGCCACGCCACCGCAGCCTGGAGGACTTGGCATCGCTCGGGCGTGTGCATTTTTGCTCGGCGGGAACCATCGAGGACCATCCTGGACCATCCAGCAAAAAAAAACACGCACGAAACCGAAACATGCACGGGAAATGGACGTCCGAGCGACGGCAAGAGGAGTTCCTCGAGCGAGACGGGCATGGCTACAACCCTGAATCGGTTGCGGCAGCGGTGCGGCAGGCCAACGCGGATTTCGAGGCCCGCCAGATCGAGCGGGCGGAGGAGGCCTACGGTGTGGCTTACGAGGTTGCGCGGCTGACCTTCGACTATCGGCCACTGCTCTTTGACGTGGCCGTCCGGAGGGCATTGTGCCACATCATGGGCACCGACCCCGCGCTGGCGGCCGCGGACCCCGTGCGCTCGCGCAGCTGGGAGATCCTCGAGGTGGCTGAGCAGATAATACCAAACACCAGCGTGGTGAAGGTCCTGAAGGGTCTCCTTTACTTGAAGGGGAGCTTGTCGCCGCAGGACCAGAGGGACAAGCACCTCACCACAGCGATGGAGTGGCTGCAGTCTGCGGCATCCCAGCATAAGGCGCCTTTGAGGGAACCGCTGCAGGATCTCGTGGAGTGCCTGCAGGCGCACGCTGCGCTGTCCAGGGGCGACTGCGACAGCGCCATAGAGATCTGCTCGAAGGTTCTCAGTCGCTCAGGTGTCCACGCGTTCGCGCTGCTGGTACGGGGAGACGCCTGCAAGTTCCACGTCTCCGGGCATTTCGAGCGGGAGGCTGCCGAGGACTACGCGGCTGTGCTGCGGCTGGACGCAAATTTGCAGCCGTTGCTTGGAATTCACTTCAAGCTGGCACCGCCCACGCGCTTGGAGGAGCTGGCTCTCCGCTTCCACCCCTTCCTCGACAAGCAGGGGCCGCGGCCGTACGAGGAGTACCCCATGTATGCGGCGTATTCCAGACGGCAGAATTTCTTTGCTGCTGCTTGGGTGATCCACTTCGTTGCATCTCTCAAGGTTCGTGTGAAGTCATCCCGGCTGCGGCGCAGCGTCCAGGCTCACTCCCGTGGCTTGTGGCGGCTCATGGAGGAGCGCACCGCCGCCCTTGCAGATCACGAGTCAACCACTGGCGAGGTGTGGGGACCCTACGACCCCGACAGCAAGTGCAAGAGATACCGGCGATATTGGATGGAGAGGCCTCGTCCCGCTCGCTCGCCCCGGCGAGAGCAGCAGGAGGGCGGCGCGGAGCTCGGCTGCGCCGGCGCCCGCAGCGCCCCGACAGACGACAGCGCGCATGCGCCGCAGGCCGCCGGTGCCAAGCGGCCCGCACCCCCGGCGCCCGCGCCACCAGCGTGTCCAGAGGCGCACGCCCTGCCGGCCGGCTCTGGTGTCCCCGTCGAGGGCCGCACGTCCTCCAGGCCCGCGGTGGCCTGCGCCCCAGAGCTGCCCGACATGGTCGCAGTGTACTTGTCCAAGACGAGCAAGTATCTGGACGAGCCTTTTGTCCGGACGGGCGACGGGTTGAGCGACGACGAGTGGACCACCAGGGCGTTGCGGCTCGCGGGCGCCCTCGACGATGCCAGCGGCGCGCTGGACGACGAGTTGAAGCCCAGGGATCCTCCAGAAGTGGCGATCGATCCGCCCCTGGCCCCGCTGGAAGAGCTGCGTCGAAGACTGCAAGCACCAGCGGGGTGGCTGCGGGAGCTTGACAGGATCACGGAGTTTGCCGATCCCGTGCCTTTCGCCGTTCGAGCAGAGCCAGCCGCAGCGCTGGGGGGCTCGTGGTCCGCATCCTGCGGCAAGGCCACGCTGTCCTCGCGGCTGCCCAGGCATTCCGTGGGCGAGAAGTTCTGGGAGTCTACGGTGGGCCGCTGCGGCGACTGGCAAGCGAACCTCAGGACCTGAACCCGGAAGGGCCTGGGGGGCGCCGGCAGGCTGCCGCCTCGGGGCGAAACTGCCGCCCGAGGCCGCCCGGCCGGGGCTCTGAGAGTACCGAGCGGCGGCGCCTTCGCCGAAACAGAAGAAAACCTGATGCTGGTCGGTTTCGCGAATTCCGAGTGTGCTTCCGATTACGGCGCCGAGTTTTGTTTACTGTTGCTGTTCTGGTTGTGCTTGTTGTTGTTGATGATGTTGTTGTTGCTTTTGCTGTTGCTGTTGTTGTTGCTGTTGCTGTTGTTGCTGCTGTTGCTGTTGGTGTTGGTGATGGTGTTGCTGCTGTTGCTGCTGTTGTTGCAGTTGTTGCTGTTGTGTGTGTGTGTGTAATCGGTCATGGCGGGTTTGGTTTGCCACTTGACCATAATACATTATGAAAAGAGTTGCCCCGACCAGGGTTGGCCGGAGGGGGTTAGCTGGGAGGGCTGGCCAGGTTATTGGGGGTTGGCCGGGAGGGTTTTGCCGGGATTATCGTTGCAGGGGAAGTTTGCACCGTCGCGAAGTGTATACGAAGTTTTCCCATTGGAAGCGATCGTTCCGATTATCTGTCCTGATTCCCCGCGAAGTCCTAAGCACTGTCATCTTTCTTCTCTTCGTCCTCCTCTGGCGGCTTCCTGTTTGATCGTCCTCCTCTTGCTTAACTATCTTCACCATCCTCAAGCGTCTACTGCATCATCATCCTTCTCGTCCTCTTTCCTCCCTCACTCTCTGTGCGTTTGTGGGGGTACAGGGCTTGGGCTTGGCAGGTTCGAGCTCTCATGGTGTGGCATTCCATCGACGACGCCCCAGCTGTTGTGTCAGATCTTGGTGCGCAAGTTTCGCACAGGTTGCACAATGGATTGGGGTCCAATTCTTGGCATCATGTCTTATCCGAGCCACGCTGGCGTCAAGCTGGCCAGCCTCCAGCATCAGGTGCCCGAGCCTCAGCGCAGCGGCTGAGACACATGTGCCTTCTTTTGGGTCCCTTCCCTTCTCCTCCTTTCCCCCCTTCTGGTTCGCACCTTCGTCATCTTCGGAAGGCGTTCTGGGTGCCAGGCCTAGAGAATCCATGGGGCGTCGTTTCGGGGTTGGTTCGAGGCTGCCCAGGCTCAACTTCCACCCTTGCCCCTTCCATCCCATGTTTTCCTTCCTTTCTATTATTCCTCCACCTCCTCCATTCTCTCCGATGTTCCCTCTCCCCCCCGCCCATGCCCGTCCCCGCAGATGCAAACGGATGCGGCGAGCAAGGACGAGGATGAGAGGGGAGGAAGAAAGGAGAGAAGAGGACAAAACATAGGAGGAGGAGGAGGAGGAGGAAGAGGAGGAGGGGGAAGAGGAGGAGGAGGGAGAGCAGGAGGAGGAGGATGAAGAAGCGGATGCAGAGATGGAGGGCGAGGTGAACGAGGAGAAGGATAAGCAGGAAGGAGGACGAGGAGGAAGAGAAGAGGAGGATTTTCCCAGTGCGACCCTACATAGGAGTTGAAACTTTTAGGAAAGCAACATTAGTAGGATCGGTAAACGCCGTCCTCCTCCTTCTCCTCATCGTCGTAGCTGTAGCAGTAGTAGTAGTAGTAGTAGTAGTAGTAGTAGTAGTAGCAGTAGTAGTAGTAGTCGTAGTAGTAGTAGTAGTAGTAGTAGTAATAGTAGTAGTAGTAGTAGTAGTAGTAGTAGTAGTAGTAGTAGTAGTAGTAGTAGTAGTAGTAGTAGTGGTAGTGGTAGTAGTAGTAGTTGTCGTCGTCGTCGTCGTAGTAGTAGTAGTAGTAGTAGTAGTCGTAGTAGTAGTAGTCGTCGTAGTAGTAGTAGTAGTAGTAGTAGTAGTAGCGCCAGAACCGCCGACGCCACGCCGTAAGTGAAGCAGCAGCAGAAGCAGGCAGCAAGTCGCCGAGACAGCAGCAACAACAAGCAGGCACGGAGATGAGGGCGGGGCACTGGGGAGTTCTTTACATCAACATCTATATCTACACCTCCAACTGCATCGACACCGACATCTACATTTAGACCTGCATCTACATCTACACCTACAACTATATCTACATCTACACCTGCATCTACATCTACACCTACGACTACATCATCAGCGAGACTCACAACTACATCTACACCTAGACCTAGGAGTTGGAGCTTCTAGGAAAGCAACATTAGTAGGAGCGGTAAACGCCGCCCTCCTCCTTCTCCTCATCGTCATAGCTGTAGCAGTAGCGGTAGTAGTAGTAGTAGTCGTAGTAGTAGTCGTAGTAGTAGTAGTAGTAGTAGTAGTAGTAGTAGTCGTAGTAGTAGTAGTAGTAGTAGTAGTAGTAGTAGTAGTAGTAGTAGTAGTAGTCGCAGTAATTATAGTAGTAGTAGCCGGCGTAGGCGCAGGCGCAGGCGTAGTGGAAGTAGTAGTAGTAGTAGTAGTAGCAGTAGTAGCAGTAGTAGTAGTAGTAGTAGTAGTAGTCGTAGAAGTAGTCGTAGTAGTAATAGTAGTAGTAATAGTAGTAGTAGTAGTAGTAGTAGTAGCAGTAGTAGTAGTAGTAGTCGTAGTAGTAGTAGTAAGTAGTAGTAGTAGTAGTAGTAGTAGTAGTAGTAGTAGTAGTAGTAGTAGTAGTAGTAGTAGTAGTAGTAGTAGTAGTAGTAGTAGTAGTAGTAGTAGTAGTAGTAGTAGTAGTAGTAGTAGTAGTAGTAGTAGTAGTAGTAGTAGTAGTAGTAGAGTAGGTAGTAGAGTGGTCGTAGGAGTAGGAGTAGGAGCTCGAGTCAAGCATGGCATGCCCAGTCCCACCCGCCCTCCCACAACATAAGAAGCAAAGCTGGCACAACTGGGGGCCGAAGTCACACCGGCCAGCCGGTTTGGTACAGCTGATGCGGCCGCGATGGCGGTTGCCGACGGGAACTGGCGAGCGCGTGTTGAATGCCGCGCGCGCATTGCCAGACGAGTCGAGAATGGCCCGGTACACCGCAGGAAGCCAGAGGTGGCCGGAGGAAGCCCGACGGTCTGACAGGACACCCCAAAGCATTTTTGTGAAAAAGCATTGGGTTTTTGATGTTTTTATGTTGAAATGCTTGCAAACACACGGTGTTCGGTAGGATTCTGACATGAACGCGCGAGTGTGCTCTTTGTGGTATTTTTTGCACAGGATTCGCGGCCTGGGTGCATGACAGAGCATCGCGAGTGCACCGCGCGATGACGTGAAATCGCTGGATTTGACCGAATTCTTAAGATTCCTATGGTTTTCCTATGATTTCAGCAAGAGAGCCCGGGCGGGAAATTTGTACAATTTTTGTGAAAAAAAAACATTGGGTTTTTGATGTTTTTATGTTGAAATGCTTGCAAACACACGGTGTTCGGTAGGATTCTGACATGAACGCGCGCGTGTGTTCTTTGTGGTATTTTTTGCAATGGATTATCGCCGTGGACGACAGGACGTCCATGTCGAGAGGAAAAAATAAGAAAAATGTTGATTTTGAATTGTTTTTTACAGGTTAGGATGGGACCACCCGGATGCGGCCCCTATCGGCCGGCCTGATGGGGGGAGTAGGAGTATATTCTAATAAGGAATAAGGATAGGGATAGGAGTAGGAGTAGGAGTAGGAGTCAAGCTAGCCAGCTCGAGCGAGTCAAGCATGGCATGCCCAGTCCCACCCGCCCTCCCGCAACATAAGAAGCAAAGCTGGCACAACTGGGGGCCGAAGTCACACCGGCCAGCCGGTTTGGTACAGCTGATGCGGCCGCGATGGCGGTTGCCGACGGGAACTGGCGAGCGCGTGTTGAATGCCGCGCACGCATTGCCAGACGAGTCGAGAATGGCCCGGTACACCGCAGGAAGCCAGAGGTGGCCGGAGGAAGCCCGACGGTCTGACAGGACACCCCAAAGCATTTTTGTGAAAAAGCATTGGGTTTTTGATGTTTTTATGTTGAAATGCTTGCAAACACACGGTGTTCGGTAGGATTCTGACATGAACGCGCGAGTGTGCTCTTTGTGGTATTTTTTGCACAGGATTCGCGGCCTGGGTGCATGACAGAGCATCGCGAGTGCACCGCGCGATGACGTGAAATCGCTGGATTTGACAGAATTCTTAAGATTCCTATGGTTTTCCTATGATTTCAGCAAGAGAGCCCGGGCGGGAAATTTGTACAATTTTTGTGAAAAAGCATTGGGTTTTTGATGTTTTTATGTTGAAATGCTTGCAAACACACGGTGTTCGGTAGGATTCTGACATGAACGCGCGCGTGTGCTCTTTGTGGTATTTTTTGCAATGGATTATCGCCGTGGACGACAGGACGTCCATGTCGAGAGGAAAAAATAAGAAAAATATGGATTTTGTATTGTTTTTTAAAGGTTGGGATGGGACCACCCGGATGCGGCCCCTATCGGCCGGCCTGAGGGGGGAGTAGGAGTATATTCTAATAAGGAATAAGGATAGGAGTGGGAGTAGTAGTAGGAGTAGTAGTAGTACTAGTACTAGTACTAGTACTAGTACTAGTACTAGTACTAGTCGTCGTCGTCGTCGTCGTCGTCGTCGTCGTCGTCGTAGTAGTAGTAGTAGTAGTAGTAGTAGTCGTAGTAGTAGTAGTAGTAGTAGTAGTACTAGTAGTACTACTAGTAGTAGTAGTACTAGTAGTAGTAGTAGTAGCAGTAGTAGTAGTAGTAGTAGTAGTAATAGTAGTTTTAGTAGTCGTAGTCGTAGTCGTAGTCGTAGTAGTCGTAGTAGTAGTAGTAGTAGCAGCAGTAGTAGTAGTAGTAGTAGTAGCAGTAGTAGTAGTAGTAGTAGTAGTAGTAGTAGTAGTCGTAGTAACCGTAGTAGTAGTAGTAGTCGTCGGCGTCGTAGTAGTAGTAGTAGTAGTAGTAGTAGTAGTAGTAGTAGTAGTAGTAGTAGTAGTAGTAGTAGTAGTAGTAGTAGTAGTAGTAGTAGCAGTAGTAGTCGTAGTAGTAGTCGTAGTCGTAGTAGTAGTAGTAGTAGTAGTAGCAGTAGTAGTAGTAGTAGTAGTATTAGTAGTAGTAGTAGTAGTAGTAGTAGTAGTAGTAGTAGTAGTAGTAGTAGTAGTAGTAGTAGTAGTAGTAGTAGTAGTAGTAGTAGTAGTAGTAGTAGTAGTAGTAGTAGTAGTAGTAGTAGTAGTAGTAGTAGTAGTAGTAGTAGTAGTAGTAGTAGTAGTAGTAGTAGTAGTAGTAGTATCAGTAGTACTAGCGCCAGAACCGCCGACGCCACGCCGTAAGTGAAGCAGCAGCAGAAGCAGGCAGCAAGTCGCCGAGACAGCAGCAACAACAAGCAGGCACGGAGATGAGGGCGGGGCACTGGGGAGTGCATCTACATCTATATCTACACCTCCAACTACATCGACACCGACATCTACATGTAGACCTGCATTTACATCCACACCTACAGCTATATCTACATCTACGCCTGCATCTACATCTACATCTACATCAACAGCGAGACTCACAACTACATCTACACCTACATCTACATCTCCATCTACATCTACATCTACACCTACACCTACACCTACATCCACATCTACACCTGCATCTACATCTACATCTACAATTTCGCATGCGTGTTGCTTTGCATTGCCTTTGCTTTTGCTCTTGCTTTTGCTTTTGCCTTTGCCTTGCTCTACACCGCGCGACTTGGCATTGAGCAAGGTTGTGCAACACTTGCTACGCCGAACGTTCCTACGAAGCTGTACAGCAGCAGCAACTCCCAGATCGGTGCAACAAACTGTTCAGCATTGTTTTGGCGGGCATCATGGCGCTGGAATATGCGGTTTCGCTGTCGTGGAGTCGCCCGAGCCACTCTTGGCGCGCAGGGACTGTGTCGAATAACCAGTAGTACACAGATCACCGTGAGTGGTTCCCCTTTCGCAACTCGCAGCCCTAGGGGAACCCGCGCGTTTGCTTTTCCCTTGCTGTTGCTTCTGCTTGGCTCCCAGGGGACAGGGGGAACCGCCTGGGGCGGTTTACATTGCCCGGCCCCTTTAAGCGAACAGAGTAAGAACCCTTCTAGGCAGAGCCTGGGTAGGAAATTATAAGGAGTTGCCGGACGAGGAGGAAGGAGGCAAAGGACGGAGCTTGCGCAGAGGAAAGAGGGAAAGAAGGATGTGGGCTTATTTCAACGTGCCGTCTCGCGTACGGCGCAGATCGCTGCGCCAGCGTTGCTTGTTGGGGTTAGCCTAGTCCAAGTTTGCCAGGTTGAATGCGTCGATCATCCTATCCTGATGCCAGCGGTGCTGACAGGATGCCAGGAAGCTTACTTGGACCGTGCGGGCTTGCTTTCAGCGCACAGAGTGCAAGGCGAGCGTTTTTCCAGTGATGAGCTTCCCGGTGCAAGTGCCCGTATCGTTCCAGTGTCCTCCCGTGAGCTTCGTGAACTATTGGGTTGTTTCCATGGCACACTGCGTTGCCAGCGTTGCTGTCAGGACGCGCGCGCCAATCATGCTGGTTCGCAGGACCGCGCATCGAATTACCAGCGTTGCCGGCAGGACACTCCCTCCGAGCGCGCGGGCTTGCTTATAGTGCACTTCGCATGGCCAGTATGTTTGCCACGGATTATGCCGATCAGCTCACTGCGGGATTGCCCGCCCGCGCTTCCTGATCACCATGCTGCCAGCGCCGATGTCAGGATATGCGTTCCAATCGTGCCTCTTCGCGAGCACCGCACATCGCGTGGCCACCGCTGTCGGCAGGACCCTTTTTTCTCCGAACGCGCCAGCCCGCTTACGGTGGACATCGCCTGACCAGCAGTCTGCCAAGAGGCGTATTCCATGCGTGTCCGCTCGTCCGCGATGGTCATCGCGTCGCCACCGCTGACACCAGGAAACTCCACCCGAGCGTGCCCGCTCGCTTCTTGCACGCTTCAGGTTGCTTGGAAGGGTTGGTCGTGGTTGGCCGGGGGGGTGGAGACAGTGATTCCTAGATAAGCTAATACTTCCCAGATAAACTACCCTTCCCAGATGTTATAGTACATCATTCATAGTCAAACGCTGGATGTGTGGAGACGATGAGCAGAGCCCTGCCGTTTCCAAGGCCCACGAAAGTGAGGGCGGGGGCCCGGAGGAGGGGGGAGGAGGCCCCGAGCCAATCGCCCTGTTGATGTTGGTCATCTCGACCTGGAGTGTTGGCGCGAAAGATTTGCAAGCATCTGCTCAGTGGCACTGCGCGTTTCTGGCCTCCGCCGCCGCGCGAAAGAGTTCCGTAGGACTTGGTATCCGACGATATACATATACATACACACATATACATACAGATATATATATATATATGTATATATATATATATGACAAGTTCATACCATATATATATGTACATATGTATATGTATATACATATAACTATATGTGTATACATCTATAATGTTTATATAAACACATATATATATACATATATATATATATAAACAACATACATGTATGTATATATATACACGTTTATATATACACACATATATATATATATATATAATAATGCGTGTATGAGAGAGCACGTTCGGTGGACGCTGGGAAGAGTGGAGGTCGAACCAAGAGGGAGGTGCCCCCCCTTGAGATGCAAGGCGGGGCGGGGGTTCGACCCCCCCCCAAGGGGGGGGGCGGTCGAGCTGGGCCCCCCCCTTGAGTTGCACGGGGGCGGAGGAGTTCGAAACCGGGGGAGGCCCCCACCCCTCTATATCCAAGTGGGGGGGTCGGGCCGGAACCAGGGTGGGGACCCCCTTCCGAATTGCCGGGGGGGGTTCGAACCGGGGAGGGCCCCCCACCCCGTTGGGTTGCAGGGGAAGAGGGAAGCTCGAACCGGAAGGGGTTGCCCCCACCCCTTGCAACCGACGACGGACATTACGGACCGAGGCGGGCGGGGAGACCGGGGTTCAATTTGTGGAGCTTCGGCGTACCAGCGTAGGCATCATTGCACCTTGAACACATCATCTTCCCACACACCGGGGCGAATGATTTTCATTCGACAGCGCGGACCATGTCAGATTGCTCAGAGAAACCGCGAGAGAGGGGAGGGGGTTCTGGGGTGGAGATGGAGGTGTCGGAGGCCTGGAGATGGGCACCAACACCAAATCAGGGGGTTGCCTCCACAGGGGGAAAATGATCCTAGATTTCGGTGTTGGTGGTAATATTTCGGTCACCCTGGAAGCCAGAATATTACCACCATCACCGAGATCGGAATCTTCTTCCCTCGGTGGTTTGTGTCAACCTGTAGGCCTGCGAAGGTGGACGACGACGGCGATGCGACGTAAAGCCGATAGCTGCCTGTATTCCCTTTTCCGAGGGCGGCGCGCGCGGTGCCTTCCACTCCGGCAGCGGCGTTTGGGCGGGAGTTCGCCCTGCGTTTCTGCCACCAGGAAAACAGTTCTGACGACGATCAGAGGAGGAAAAGGTACCCCTACCCCTACCCTCCCTTCGTTTTCCCCTTTTTGGGCCTCCTGGGCCTCCGTCGTCGCCACCGCTGGATTCGCCTCGAAATCCTGGTCAGAACGCACCCCGGCAGAGGTTCGCGCAGTAGCGGTCCTCCTCCTCCTCCTCCTCCTCCTCCTCCTCCTCCTCCTCCTCCTCCTCCTCCTAGGACCTCCCCAGGAGACCCCTCAGGATTTGCTTCCTGACGTGCCGCCTCGGCCCTCCCAGGGCTTCTTTCGCCTCCTCCGCCTCGATTCGACTCGATCTCGATAGATTCTGATTCCGATTCCTCTGGGCTCCAGATTCCGATTTGGAGGTGGGTTTTCCAATGGAGGCTGCCGAATTCTGCCCATCCTCCGATCTGCTTCGATCGCCGATCCGGCTTCTCGATTTTGTTCTGGGCCCTCGGGCCCTCCCCACCGGGAGGCACAGGGCGACATGCAGAGGCTGGACAGCCATGCGCGTCGTACCCCCCCTCTCGCCACTGCCTTCTGACCCGCGGCTGCGGTGGGGCAGCGTGGAGCGTGGGCAGGGCAGGGCTGCTCCTGGTGCAGGGCAGCTCCTCTGGCGCAGAGACACCGCACGGCGCGCGGGTGCGCTGGCGGTGCAGCGCTGCCTTTCGGCGTACCGGTTCGCCCGGGGGTTCGCTTCGATGCTTCCGGTTCGGTTCGGTTCGATGTCGATGGATGCCGATTCCGATTCGATTCGGCGACAGGTTCCGATTGGGATGCCGATTTCTCAGTGAGGCCTTGCTACTCTGCCGATTGCAGCCGATTCGACTTCTCCCGACTTCGCTGCCGATTTCCGCCGATCCAATTAATTTCGATTGCCGATCCGACTTATCGATCCGATTCTGGGCTCTCCTGCTTCGAGCGCCACCCCCTCACCAGCTTGGAGCATATCCAGATCCCCAGGATTAACGTCGCGTCATCTCGAGGCTGGAACCCAGACATGCGACGCCCTGATCTTTTCAGGACGGCGTCCCCAGGAGCCCAGACCCTTTCCCCGGGGCCGGCTCTTCATCCTGAGCCGTTTTTGACGAACCTGGAGGCCCGGCGAGGGCCCCCAGGGGCCGAACCTGACGAAAACTTGCCGTCCTGATTTTTGTCACAACGCGATCATGTCTGGGAACATATCTTTGCCCCTGGTAGGGATCAGTTCCAGGCTGGTCATACTCTTATGTCGGGCGTGCCCCCCTACAGGGGGATTTTCGACGAAAAATACAAGATACCCCAGAAATGCCCCAAGAAGATCAAAACATTTTCCAAAAATAGTCCCCAGACTATTTTTGGAGCATTTTCTTATTATTTCTGGGGTATTCTTATTTTTCGTCGAAAATCCCGCTGTAGGGGCACAGGCCCGACTTATATAATCATACTCACCCGGGCAAAGGTCAACGCCGGGCTCCTGGAGGAGGCCACGCCGCCCGAGCTGCAGCCGGCGCGCAAGCGGAGCCCCACGCCTCGTCGCGCGCGTCGGCGCTCGGGGGGGGCCCTTTGGTTCAGAAGACGATCGGTGTAGCGAGCCGGTATGTGCGCGAGGGCTCGGCCCGTTTTCCTTGCTCCTCCCCCTCCTCCTCCTCTTCCTCCTCCTCCTCCTCCTCCTCCTCCTCCTCCTCCTGTTCCTGCTCCTCCCCCTCCTCCTCCTCCTCCTCCTCCTTCCTCCTCCTCTTCCTCCTTCTCCTCCTCCTCCTCCTCCTCCCCTCCTCCTCCTCCTCCTCCTCCTCCTCCTCCTCCTCCTCCCCCCTCCCCCTCTCCTCCTCCTCCTCCTCCTCCTCCTCCTCCTCCGCCTCCTCCTCCTCCTCCTCCTCCACCTCCTCCTCCTCCTCCTTCTCCTCCCCTTCCTCCTCCTCCTCCGCCTCCTCCTCCCTTCCTCCTCCTCCTCCTCCTCTCCTCCCCTCCTCCCCTCCTCCTCCTCCTCCCCCTCCTCCCCCTCCTCCTCCCTCCTCCTCCTCCTCCTCCTCCTCCTCCTCCTCCTCCTCCTCCTCCTCCTCCTGCTCCATTCCCGACCCCAACATGGGGACGTCACCGAGGACTGCGGCCACCACAACGATATGGCCATGCTCCTGCAGCTGCCAAGTTCTTGCCGTGGCTCATGGCGACGCCTTCGTGCCGAGGCCGCGCGGCCCCCACCATCGCAGTTCGGACCCGCGATGGAGATTTTCGCAGGAGGATGGGCCACATCGCATCGGCTACATGTCCAGCCAAATCGGCGAGGGTGCATCTTCGGATGCATGCCCAAGTGCCCCGCAGACTCCATCGGCCACCCCATGGCGGCTGCAGGAGGCTGTGGCGTCACGTGGCCCTCCCGCGGGGATAGCTACGTCCACCGCGCCCTTGCGCGGCCCGGCCTTCACGACGACAACCTCAACGACACTGGCGTGCCTGACAGCAAGAGCAAGCACGCCCTCGCGCGACTCGGTCGCCTACACGCACCATGAGATCCTTCACTTCAGTTCAGCGACCTGTCCCTTGACCGCCTCCATACCGAAATTCATCAGTTCAAGAATCCTCGCCCCCCCCAGTCGCCATGGAGACGCTCCGGGGCCAGATCGCTGAGCTGAAGGATCTCAGGGGGCGTAGCCTACCGCACGCACCACTACATGAACACACACCAGGAAATCACCAACACCGTCCAGGCGCCCCTGCGGCGTTCCTAGGCTCGGCGCCTCCGTGCTCGGCGGCGCGGCTGGTCCTTCATGAGACTGACGTCGCCCCCCTCGGCTCGTCGTTCGCTCCTCCTCCTCCTCCTCCTCGTCCTCCTCCACCTCCTCCTCCTCCTCCTTCTCCTCCCCTTCCTCCTCCTCCTCCGCCTCCTCCTCCCCTTCCTCCTCCTCCTCCTCCTCCTCCTCCTCCACCACCTCCTCCTCCTCCTCCTCCTCCTCTTCCTCCTCCTCCTCCTCCTCTTCCTCCTTCAAACCACGCTGACGTTGCGCTTGCCGTCGCATTGTTATGGCGACCTGGGGAGCGAGCACACTGGCTGCCACTTGGCAGGCGGGGTCCAGGCTCTTGACCCGTCACCGTGGAGGGATTCGTAAAGTTCGGGTCGAGCAGGGCATGTTCTGGATTTGCGATGTTTTTTTGTGTTGGCGATGTTGTTCACCATGGCGCAGAGGAAAGGCTCGATGTGCTCGCAAGCCGTTCAGTGGACGCGTGTGCAAACAGAGAATCTGGTATCCGCATCACGGACCACGGCACAGCGTTGGAAACTATTGGCCTGATGCGTAAGTTATGTGTGTCCAGTTCATTCCACGGTAAATGGTAGATGCCACCCAGACACGTGCCTGTCTGCCGCCACTTCGTGGCAAATGTCGTACCGTCGTCGCCATCCACCCGTCACATCACAATTCTACAGTCCCTTAAGCAAATTTAGAATCTCTGAGTTGACAAGACTCTTGATCGTATAATCTGATGTGGTTCCCCTACATCTGGGTACATCGGTTTAACGAGCTTATCTTCTCAACAGTGACCAGCTAAGATCTGCGGCAGCACCATCACCGTCACCATCACCATCACATTCGTCCCCCAGGTTCGCCTTCTTATTTTTTATCTCGTGCTCCTTCCCTCTCCTCCGCCCCCATCCCGCGTGTCTCATTTTCGTCCAAACTTTTACGGTCGGGGCATTCGTTTAGGAATGTATTCCTTGTTTGGTGAGGGCGGCCGTGATACACATGGCCAATCAACGAAAAGAGTTCCACCGGCTTCCAGACCCCGCGTTCTTTATCCAGTAGTTCCTTATCCAATGCACTCACCGTCTCCTTGCCTTGCCTTTGCCACTGGACCAGGACCCCCGACGTCACGATTTCCTCATAACGTGGACCCCCACAGGTCTGGACCCCTTCCAGGGGACCGGTTTTTCCTCCCGAGTCGTTTGCTGACGGTCTCGAGGCTTGGTGAGGGCCCCCCGAGGCAGAACATAGCGAGCAAGAATCCCGTCGCGGTTGTTGATCATGACTCGAGGGGATCCGGATTCGGGGATCTTGCCCGCTCGCCGTCGCCGCCTCCGCTTCTGCCACTCCACCTCCCCCCTCTGCAGCATGCATCGACATTCAGTCGGGGCGCTGAAGAAGGAACCCTTTTCCTTGGGGAGGGGCTCCGTGTCCCTCGATTGCTTCACAATTTGCTTTTGTTTTTTTCTGTTGGTTTTCGATGGGAAGTCGAAGCTCAACTTGTGGATAGAAGGGACCTCGTTCCTCATTGGAGAGGCCTGACGGCTGGTGCCGCCGACCCTGATCGAAAGGGCTAGGAGTGGGGGGAGGAAGCGGAGGATGAGGATGAGGAGGAGGAGGAGGAGGAGGAGGAGGAGGATGAGGAGGAGGAGGAGGAGGAGAAGGAGGAGGAGAGAAGGGGCCTCGTTCCTCACGTAGGGTTCCTTGTGTCCACGCCCCGACTGTATATACAGCTCCGCAGCCCGCTCCGACGGCCGAGCCGGCGGGGGGGGGCGGGCGGGCAGGCCGCCCGGCCGCCTGCCTGGGGCCCTTCGGGGGGCCAGGAGGGGCAACGGCCGAGCGGAGGGATGGGCCCACGTCGAGCAGTGCCTTCGCCTGCCACTGGGGGGCAGCCTGTGGGGGGTCAGGAAAAGGTGAGCTCAATGTCGCTGATTTTTCCCAGATTTGGGGCCGCATTTTCATCAAAAGCGATGCCTTGCTTGCCTTTTCCAGGGCAATGCCCCTGGAAATACTTGGCCCAAGGCAGTGTTCTTCTCAGGAAATCAGCTTTCCTTAGTTTGCCCCTCGCTGGCTCTGACCCCCAGTAGTATTACCCCCATTACCAGGCGAGTGAGCAGTGGCGAAGCGTCCTGGCCTGCCTCTAGTCGGCGTCACGCCAACATACTTAATACTATATGCGCGTCGCCCCCCCCCCCCGGGGCGACGCGCGCACCGAGAAATCTCATAGTATCTGCGTCGTGGCGGGCGCGTTCTGGCCGCGCCGCTCGCGAAACGGTATACTACAAGATGGGTATACTATATGTTCGGGTCGTGCGCGCGCCTCCAAGGAGGACATCTAGTATTAGTTTGTGCCTGTTTGTCCCATCTAGCCACACCGAAGAATGTTCTAAGAACCTTCCGTGGTCTGCACCGGGTGTTCTCAAGACATTCCCGGCCGAGACGGCTTTGTTTTCAGCACATCGGGCTTATGTTCCGAGAACATGATGTCGGGCTTATGTTCTAAGCACTTCGTGTTTGTTCTTATAACACGTGTGGCTTCTAAGAGAACCTTCCGTGGTCTGCACGGGGTGTTCTCAGGACATTGCACTTTGTGTTTGTGTTTATAACACGTGTGGCTTCTAAGATAATTTCGTGGTAGGCCTATAGGAATGTCGGGGCGGTCGGTCCGTGCTCAGTCAAGGGGAACGACCTTTCGGGGTTCGGGTTTCGAGCTTTTCGGGCCCGATAGCGAAGCCGTTCGCTTCTGTCTGGGCGATCCTTGGTCGACGGGAGGGTCGATGCCCGCCCCCGAGTCTAAGAGTGGGTCAATTTTTCATGCAAGGGCTCCTCATCTTGAAAACTGAGAGGCAGGCCCAAAGCTACCAAATACCGAAGCTTCGGAATGTGCTGTTGCAGCGATGCTCTGATGCAAGCCTAGGGACCGCACGCGCTCGCTGTCCACGCGCAAGCTGAGTTTAGCTTCCCAGAGTCTTGAAAGGAAAACCGAGAACCCAAGCCGATCCACCCCCCAACGTTGCCCTTGGCGGATGGGCATCGGGTCATAACTCGGGCCTCCCGCGGCCGTTCGGGACGATCCGGGGACCCCCCCCCTGGAACGTTCTCGGCGAGGCGCAGACGCTGGAAGGTGTCCAGAGGCTGGAAGACCGCCGAGAAGCGACGAAAGCTCCCGAAAGCTCCCTGATGGGAGGCCACATGCGAACCCCACCCCGCCACCCCACGACTTCTCCTGGGGGCTAGGTGGGGTCCACTCCGCTCGGGAGGGCCCGAACGGAGCGAGCCTGTCTTTCTCCTCCCCCTTCAGACATCTTGGGGTTTGAGGGGTGAGGTTCGCACGTGGCCCCCCACCCTGAGCACATCCCCCCTGCCGTCGCCCCTGGGGGATGGGTGCGCGGCTGACCTGCTCCGACTGCGCCCCGCTGCTGGCGCGGGGGCGACGCGTCGCGCTGCAGCGGGGCGCCGCGGCCGCGGAGGCGTTCGGGCTGTGCCAAGGGGGGGCGCCACACGTCAGCTTGCATCTTCAGGGGGCCCTCGCCTGTCCCCCACCTTGGTGCTTTTTTTTTGTGCCCGAGGCGGGCTCGCCACGGACGTGGCTTCGACGCGGGTTCGGCACGGCTTCGGCACGGATCCGACGAGGCCGGACGCGGATTCGACACGGATTCGATGCGGATAGGGCCGCGACGGGACAGACAAGGCCCCCCTTACGAGGATGCAGCATACACCACACGGGGGGCCGCCAGCTGTTCCTGAGGCGTTAGACGGCATCGCCTCCCAGACGGCAGGTTT